GTTTCCAAATTAAAAAAGGGTTATAATAGGCTATGTTTAATAATGTAAGTAATTTGATACGTTTTTTTAATATTACCAATGCCAAAGTAATAACTAGCAGGCAAAGATATCGGATTACCTCTATCCACGATTCTCGTATTTCTCTCGCGACTTCCGCAATATCTTCGTTAATTTATTTTAGGAGCACAAATTAATAAATAGCCGAATGCAAAAGGCGAGAACTTTTATCCCCTTTGAATATGATTAAAACATTAGCTTATATCCGCGACATCGACTTTGTAAATCTAGTATCGAAAATAAAATAAAAAATGTCATGGGACCATTACAAATATTTATATTGTTATCTTTTTAACCCTGCAATATAAGAAATGTTTAGAAATTATTATGTTAAATTAAACACCATTGAGATATAACGTACGAAATTACATAAATATGAAGAAGCAAAATTTAAGTATCGTCATCATTGAAACTAACTTTAAAGATTCTAAAAACGGTAATCTACGATAAACAGTAGTTTCCTTATATTTTAGGTCTTTTTTAACGAAACTGATTTTCGTTCAATTTTACTTGTTATAAATAAATAAATAGGTATATTTATCAATCAATATGATTCGTTCTTTACATTTCACTTTCTTTTCTATATGCTAATTAAAATATTAACCTAAATAACTAAAATATTTATGAATGTGATGTTTATAAGGCTATAAGCAAACTTAAATAACCTTCAAATGATAAACTAATACAAAATATATACAAGAACAATGAACCTAAAACTAAACACCTTAAAAAAATAGGCAAGGTTCCGAAGATACTGGCAGCGTTCCCCCTTTGAACATCTAGACTAATTCATCGGTTGCTGCCAGCTCTTCGGTCTCCTGTGATGTCAAATACCCTTTTTGGTATTTCCCTAAAAAAAGCCTTATAGCGCTATGACTAAATATTTATTCACAGCCACATTATGATGTGTATATCACCCGCATCATTCCCGAATTCCACGGAAAATCGTTATCCGAAGCATTTTTCGCGATACCACATATTTTTTAACCATTTTCCGGACATTAAACTGCAAGCTGCGAGAAAACATAAAACATTTAACACAATTAGAAAATCGTTAGGATGTTTTCAAATATCTCTCCGAACTCTCTGGAAAGATTCCAAACTATTTGAAACTCGATTCTCGGAAAACTATCCTACAATTAAAATTTATTTGCGGATGAACGTAATAAACATGGCGCCACGTATTACGTAAATAACAATTGAGCATTTGTTCTCCAAATTAGACCATGAAACAATCTAATAAACTTACAAATGATTATAACTTGAAACGTAGGTGATTGCCGGACCAAAAATTACAAATTTTAAACCCAAATGATTTAGATAGGTACGAAACAGTAGAGATGTTTTCATTAGTTTTTTTAGCAACTTCCTTGATAAAAACTATACGAATCGACGTCGGTATTTTCCCACGATTTCGCGGTTAACCGCTCTTAGCTTATTGTTTAGGGCTATCTTCTTAATGATCAGAAATGGTCTATTTAAAGAGTTTACGAGTAAACATCTTTTTGGCAACTCAAATGACATTTGAAAAGCCATTTAACAGCTGATTAGATAATTTCTACGATGATCAGTGTTTCAGAAACCGGGCGTTCAGAAAACGCAAACGCGACGAAAACTTTTTTGATATTATGTATCTTTAAAAATGTGTGAACCATGCATGCTTCAAATATACCTAAGAAAAAAAAGTCCTGGTGAGTCTACCAGAGACTACTTGTCTCTGTCCTACCCCAGATACCATTTATGATCTGATGTAGGTATCCATTTTATTTGTTTCCCTAAAATGGTAAAAGTTACATTTTTTCAGATCTTCGATTTCATACAAGATAAACCAATGCAAAAAATTTATCTAAACATTAAATACATTATCACTTTATTGAAAATAAAACATTTCAATTAACATTAAAATATACGTTTCCAGGGAAATTACGAAACAAAAGCAAGCGCCCCTAGCCTAGTGCTTTACGGCAAATTTATCAATTCCGTTAAACAGTTCCACGCGAGTAATAACCGGAATTTATCGAGCGAAGTCAAAATTACCGGAATTGTGCGAATTTACAATTTCACGTGAGCGCTATCGCCAATTCTAGCGAAACTGCTTCGCCCATCGGTCGCACAAAACAGCAAAACGTGTAGTGCCTTGCTTCGATAACATTAATAAATTTTCTAAACTGTGACATGATAAAGATACAAAAATTTTAGTTAATTTTTTTTCTTTATTTTATTTCTCCGACAAAACGAAAATTTATACTTTATGAAATTTTAAGCAGATAAACTATTTAGTACCCAGATCGATACATTCACGTAGAAAATAAATTGGAACGCTAAGCCGATTGCGCGGTTTTCTTTTAATTTATTATTTATATTGTTGATTTTTGTCGTGCAGTAGCTTATTTTCATCCCCGTACGTAAGACCTTTAAACGCAAAACGTCTGTTGAATAAAATCAGTTTACGGAGATTATATTTTAAAGCAGCGTTTGAACACTTTACATTGATCATGGTCACACCCTAAATACCCATTTACACGGTGCAAGTTTCTTGCCTGTTGTATACAATTAAATTGAAGCAATAAATGAGTTGCATGGTCTAAACAACAAATGGTCTAACAAATTATTGCGCGCAATTTATTGCATTCAATTATTGCTCTTGTATGTACAAGAAAATGGCATCGTGTAAATGGGCCTTAAGTTCTGAGTTAACCTCAGTTATTTATTTATTTTATTCCTTTCTATGCAAGACAGCTTCTAGGTTTAAAGCTAACGAAAATATTACATTTACTGAATGATTGAAAATAACAACAAATACTAATTTAATTATATTAGTAGAAGCGTTTTAATGTTGAAGAAGCTGGAGTGTAACAATTAGAGCTATTTATTTTTATTTAGTTCGATGTAACAAATGGTACCTATATTATATTTTCTTCAATTAGTTATTACAACACCTACATAGAGAACAGACTTTATTATTGATATACTAATTGAAATTAACACAAAAGTTCAAATTAGTTATGTTCTTAGCACTAGAAACTTTTTCAATATTAAAGAAGCAGGGGCAGTTATTACTATTTATTTAACATAAAGCCAAAGTACAATTTTTTTAAGGGACGCGGAAAGACAATCTATCTTTACCCTGATCAAAAAATCCGTCACTGAACTTTATGCCCTTCTTCACTGCGATTATAAGGAACCGACAACCTTTCTACCAACCAATATGTTGGAGGCGACAATCGTAATGTCCTTTACTGCTAACCCCAAAAGACTTCAAAACTTTCGTCATGATCGTAAGGAATTGAGAGCCCCGGAAAATACCTTTTTGTAGGAAAACTTGTGCACCGTCTAAAGAGAACAGAATCCTTACAATATTTCAATAAACAACTCAAAATGGTCATCTACCATGAATTAATTCTTTTATTTATAAATTAAATAAACGCTAAACGTTTTAAATTTCAAAAACGTCTTTGCAATTCCACAAAAAAAGAAAATAGGGATAGAGGTAACGCCATCTATTGACATATTTTTGTTTGTCTATTGTATCTTGTATTAACTGATGTTTTTGCTTTCAGTCCCGAGACTATTAAAGCTTCATCTGACGCAGAACCGGTGGGCTAGCCAGAACTGCGTGCGAACAGAAGCCAGGTTTGGGCCGTCCGCTGTGGGTAGGGCCGCGCATGTGCTCATGCGTGCGTTTAACTACGACATGTGATCTAAGGGCCATCGAAGTTGCGGTGCGGACCGAGACCCCGATGGCCGTCGACTGTGTTTTTAGCTAATCGGTGGCTGCGGGCGGTGAGAACCGCCCTGGAACGCGGGTGTACCTTGTGTACGCGTTGTGTTGGTCTCACCGTGCTCGGAGGCGAGGGCGAACTATTGTTTGTTGTTACACTAGCTGTGGGTGTAGTGTTATCTGGCGGGACCACCGGCGGTGGGTCCGGCGTGTCTAAGTCCCCTTCCTCGACCGGGTCGATTAGGACGTTTCGCGGGCGACGCTTGTTGACGTTCGCGTTTGTGTCGGGTTGGTAATTTGCTGCGCTTACCACCAAAGGGTTGGGACTTTTTGTCTATTATAACCGTACATCTTTTACCCACCATTCATAATTAAAATGAGTGCTATGCTTCAAGTCCAGACTATATAGTCTCTGTTTCATCACTTACAGAACCAGTGAATAAACGAGTCTGATAAACCCAACGTGGTAAGAAAAGTTAATGATGTTTAAACAACACCTATAGCGCGGAATTATTCTAATCACTATAATTATGACTGTATATTTTGGTTTTTCGAGTTGCAACCTCCACAGGCCATAGTGACAAGATTTTTCCGCTAGCGTCGCTACCTCACCAGAGACCTCAACATAGACAAGATAACATGATTCCTCTTCCCTAGGAATAAGATTACAATCATTACTTCTGTTAACCCTAAAATACAGTCTACAAGATATATTAAGTTCTAGACATAAATAATGTTATATAAAAAATGATAAATATTTAAAATCACTCGTAAGTAATTAATAAAATTCATTTGAATCTCAAAAAGTGCGTGATTTATACGCAACTCATTTATTTTACGCCCGATCTTTCATAACTAACACGGACACAAGTTCGTGTATAGTAAATTTAGGTACTACCGCATTATCCACACGTTCTGTTTTTTCGGGAATAGAATGGCATATTTTTTGAAAAAAAAAACTTTTTTTTTTTCAATAAACGATTATACTACAGATTCTGAACCTCCTGTGTAAATTTGGGCACTTCTCAAAAAATCTCCCTGTATAGATCCTTTCCTTAGGGTGCGTCCAGGTTGTCCTACAGAATATATTGAATTGTAACAGCAAAAAAAGGAATTAGTTTTATGTTAATACCAATATCGGTAAAAGATTAACGAAAAGAAAACTCAATCAATTAATAAAAAATATATTTGACAACATAACATTAGCGTACAACGTAAGCTATGATACTCTTCTTCTTTTCCTTCTAGAAGATTCTTCGTCGCTCGCTTCTGTCTCTTCTTCCTCGTCGCTTGCTCGAGGAATGATCTCTGTCGCCGCATCATTTATATCTTGTTCATCTGTAAGAAGAAATTAATAAATTATAAATCTCGCAATAAATTTACATTTTGCGTAGAACATTCACGCAAAAAATATATTACTACCACTCTTTAATACTATAACATAATAGCCCAATAGAAGTTCGAAACTGTTCCTTTTCTTTCGACTAATTATAGTATTTATTAGTGTAGGTAAGCAGACAAAAATAAAACAGACAAGTGCAAGTCGGGCTCTGGCACGAAGGGTTCCGTAACATTATCTATAAAAACGGAACCTTAAAAATGTCTGAAATTACAGCTTGAAAATCGATTTTCCTAAATATATGAATTCACCCCACCTCGTAACCGCTCATATTTACTATATGATGTAAGTCAAAATCAAAATCAACAATGTATGATTGTATGCATCCATCAAAATCTTGTATGGTCGTGATAATAGCGTATGAAATACCTGCGTCTTCAGGTGGGTGGTCCATAGCGTTCAACATCTCTTGCAGGACGGGCGCCTTTATTCTGAAATCCCTCGCTGTGCCCAGTGACAAGTACTGCTGATAGTTCACCTGTAATCAAAGACGACATTCTTAACTCCTCTTGACTGTTGTGTTGTATTCTTTTGTTTAAACTACTAGCCAAGTTCCAGTGCCACAAATATCGTTCCACGTATAAAAAGTACACGCGAAAGCTGAATAAACGTTTACCTAAAAACTAATGTACTTCGATAGAGAGTTACACTCGAGCATCCCGAGTTCAATCCCAGGTGAGAAAGAGTGAAATTGTTAATTTTAAGTGCCGAATTATCACGTGCTCGGCGGTGAGGGAACACATCGCGAGGAGACCTGCGTATCTTCGAAATGATAACAAAAAACATTTCAAATATATACCTTTACAAACATAGTACAAAGGCCTTTGCCCAGCAGTGATAGGGCCACGCAAGTGTTCGCTGTTGCACGAATGGGTAGGTCCGTCCGGCTTAGTACCACAACTTCACAGAAGATCGGCGTGAAGTAGAATTGTGGCCGGGGCCCACTTTATTTAAAGGTGTCAACGCAACAAAATGTTAAGGCCGTTACTTTTATTTTTTTATGTGAAAAAGTGGCAAACGAGCTGGCTGTTGGTTGACCTGATGTTAAGTGATAACCGCCGCCCATGGACATTTGCAACACCCGTAGGGTTGCAATTGCGTTGCCACCTTTAAATAAAGTGGGCCCCGGCCACCCCACTCACCAGACGAAACGCAGAGTTGAGAGGTGTAACACTTCTACTTGGCGCCGGTCTTCTGCGAGGTATCGGTACGTACGTCCGGGATGTGCCCGTTCTTGCAACAGTGAAAACTGCTGCCTGGCCCTACCACAGTTATAAGTTAATCACTACATAGTATAAAACAAAACCGTGCCCGCTCTGTCTGTTTGTCCCTATACAGGGAGGCTTTTCTAAGTGTAACCATTTTTTTTTAATTAAATTGTAGACAATGTTTATAAATAATGTTATATAAAAAATGATAAATATTTAAAGCACTCGTAATTAATTAATTACAGTCATTTGAACTTATCTCAAAAAGTGTGTGTGTGATTTATGGGCAACTCATTTATTTTACGCGCGATCATCCACAACTAACACGCACACAAGTTCGTTCCAAAAGCATACGACGCATATATGAATGACTACCGCATTGTCAACGAGTTCTGTTTATAGGGATTAGAACGGAATTTGTTTTGTAATAAAAAGTTTGTTTTTATTTCAATAAACGATAATACTACCGAGTCTGAACCTCCCGTGTGAATTTGGGCACCTTTAGAAAAGCCACCCTGTATATGCTTAGAGATTCACTTCCTCCACCTTGGCCTTGGCGGCGAGCAGCGTCACGTGCTTCGCGAACTGCTCCGCCTCGAGCACCAGCCGGGGCACCAGGCGGGCGTCCCGGGGCAGGGCCGCCGCGCGCCGGCCCTTCGCCACTCCGCCGCCAGCCTGCTCCACGTACGTGATCAGCGCGTCGGTTATCGACGAGAGCCGCTTCCCGCACAGCTTCAGCAGCCGCTCCAGCCTGTGTTAATGTGCACGAGTGAGGGGAGATTTCGCGAAGAAAAATTAATGGAGGTGATACTTCGGGTGCCACGCGTTCGCTCTCGCTCTGTCTCTTTCTATTCCCCCTCCCCAGGAGCGTTGAATGTTCAACGCAACGGTGCTATCATAACCCCTCCATGGTAGCGTGAAACGTTTAACGCAACCTTATTGGAAGTCGCATTAGAACGCGCAGTTTCACTACCTAAGTAATTTTTAGCGTTCGGGTGAAAAATAGTGACTATGTATGTCTTTCCCTGTTAGCGCGGTCTCCTTGTACAAAAGTACTTTACATACTTTGTAAGTACTAATTTACTTTGCTGAAAGAATGAAAAGTTAACAAGCACAAAGCTTGTTTACCTTTTAGCCTTCTACGCTTCCCTATCTACTGTATTATATCAGAGTGCATTTGTGTAGTGAGTGACAGGAGAATAAAAAAAAAACTGTAAAGTCAAGCGAGTACATTTATTTGTCTCCGCCTTCTTCGATCTACACCACCTTCCTAAAGTTTTTACTTTGATTTTAATATATGCTAGCCGAATATTAAATAGCGAAACTTATGGAACTCACAGATAATTATAATTCTTTGTCATATAATAAACAAATAGTTTGCAATAAAAAATATTGCAATATAATTGAGGTATAAACTATCCTAACTCTCAAATTGGATCAAACTCCACACAGTGTGCATAATTTAGGTGTTCACCGGGGACAAACAACGTGACACGTAATTTACATATACAGCGTGTCGTTACCATCGCGACAATAAATGAACACACGTCTAACGCTACTTGCCAATAATCATAAAAAAATATTAACGTTAAACAAAATCCATAATTAAAAAAAAATATTTTTCATACAAACTAATTAAGTAAAAAAGAAACAAAATTTTTAACATCCTATACAACTCGCGCCACAGCGTCGCATTACAAGCCTCTCCTTCTAACGGTATGTTTTGTCTCTTTTAAATTCATTCAACCCATTCATATGCTTTGTGACCTTTACAAATGAACTTTACGTTATGCTTTTATAGGTAAGGGTGTTCTAAAATTGTTTGTTTTGGAAAATTTAATAACTCTGTAAATATTGATGTTTAAAGAATTTAAATGTTTAATACAACTTTAAAAAGTTATCCCCTATATGAATGGGTTGAATGAATTTAAAAGAGACAAAACATACTGTTAGAAGGAGAGGCTTGTAATACGACGCTGTGGCGCGAGTTGTATAGGATGTTAAAAATTTTGTTTCTTTTTTACTTAATTAGTTTGTATGAAAAATATTTTTTTTTAATTATGGATTTTGTTTAACGTTAATATTTTTTTATGATTATTGGCAAGTAGCGTTAGACGTGTGTTCATTTATTGTCGCTATGGTAACGACACGCTGTATATAAAGATATGCATATGTAAGGCGGTAAATCAACGGGGGGGGAGTGGACTTGAGCGCAGAGGGTCGTACCTGAGCGCAGGCGCTAGGGAAGACAGCTTGCGAGGAGAAAGGGGGGGGGCGTACCAGAGCGCAAGCGCTAGGGGAGGGGCAGGGGCGTACCTGAGCGCGGGCGCCATCGCGGGCGGCAGGTGCCTGAAGAGCGCCGTGAGCAGCGCGTAGAGCCGCACGCAGAGCGCGAGCGTCCGCTCGGCGGCCGCGCCCGCGCCGCAGCGGAGCCGCGCCGCGCGCGACACCCACCCGCCCAGCTGGCACAGCTCGATCACCGCCGCCCGGTGCAGCTCCGTCGCCTCTGCAACGGGCACGCCGAACTGAAACCGCTGGTATACTCTGATTGGGGCGACGTCTACGCACATTCAGACTACTGCGGCCGATAAGACCGCACCCGGCTCCTAAAGGTGCAGTTAAACTTTTTTTTTAGGAAACGACGAGCAATATTAGGCGATCACTGCCGCCCATGGACACTCGCAACATCGCTTGAGTCACGATTGCGTTGCAGGCCTTTCAGTAGGAGCAGCAGTCTTCTTGACGGATTCCCCTAGTCGGATCCCATTAGAGCGACGTCCGTGCACAATCGGTCTACAAAATTTAAGGAAACCGTAAATAGCCTCTAAAAAAAAACTAGACTGTATAGCTTTTGAGATGCAATGTAAAACACTAACTAAAGCGACTTCTGCGTACATACTATCTATCATAAAAGTCTTCAGTCTAAGCTTGGGAGACACGCGGTTAAACTACGATACATTATTTTTGCTTATTTTTTAATTACAGATCAACTGCCATGTTCGGTTTCCGAACTATCGGTATTAACATGGAAAATATGGAGGTAGACGTACACTGGATCCCCTAAAGGTGAGACTCTTAGAAAAACGGGTGAGGACTCTTAGAAAAGTGAGAAAAGCAATAAATGCGAAGATAGCGGGCTTCAAGATCGACAGAAGAAGGCATAGGACGGAAAGATCATCATAAATCGTAACTCAAAGAACCGGATAACTAAAGACCTAAGCATAGAGCATATCAAAAACAAAGACTGTAAGTCACGGCGTCTGGTGAGTGAGGTAGCAGGAGCCCACTTTATTAAAACGTGTCAACGCATCTGTAACCCTACAGGGTGTTGCAAATATCCATGAACGGTGTTTATCACTTAACATCAGGTGAAACGCCAGCCCGCTTGCCACCTCACATAAGAAAAAGTGCGTGGAGACCTAACCTAACGCAACCTTGTTGGAAGTCGCATTAGAAGTTTCACTTCAAAAAAAGTTCACCCGTCCTGATCGCCTGTTGCCGGGGGGAGGGCAGGTCCGTTGCCGACGCGAGGTCCCTCGCCCTCGCCAGGAGGTGCTCCACGCACTTGAAGCGCTCCGCGAGATGGGAGCACACGTGGCCCAGCACAGAGTGCCCGGTGCGGGAATCGATCCCGGGGAAGGTGGCAGACTCCTCGACGGACGAGGTATCTTCTTCCTGCCCAAGAAAAAATTAATTTCAGTGCAACTCATTCACCAACTGTAGACTCTACGGACGGTTTGGTTGCTCTCCGTGGGTACGGATATGAACAAAACAAGCGGTTCACGAGATCAGCGCTATCAAGTACAGTCGCGTTGACTACACTTAAAAGGCCTGATCCCCATTACCTTGCTCGCTATAATAAACGTATATTATAACATTACTTTATAAAACACCGGATACAAAAAAATGTAAGTAAATTACAAAAGGTAAGCTTAACTCAACGCATAAGTTCTCTGCTGGCTAAACTGGTGAGAAAAATATGTGCTTAAATGTAACTAGAAATGTATTCAGTGCACAGAGATATTTCCATAACATACCATACATAAATATATCTATAAACATATATACATAATACGTAACATACACATAATATATAGTAAATATTAATATAATATAGTAAATAATATTGTAGTAAATATAGTAAACATTATGCCATATGCAGATGACTCGGTGGCGCCGTTGCTAAGCTATTGGCTTCGGCTTCGGAGGTCTTGGGTTCGTCGACTCCCACACGGGACAAGTATTATGTAAACAAACATCCAGATCCGGAACAATTATCTATGGCTATTGTGTGACCGGCAAATAATTGTTCCAGATCTGGGGGTTTGTTTCCCAAGGAGAGTTAATAGTCAGAACCTATACGGTGATGGTGATTATGACATATTTAAAGTATGTCAACAATTTTACATTAGCGGGCAATAGACAGGTTTACTATCCACTACGCCAATTGGGTCGTTGAACTTAATAAATATTTTCTTAACACTAAAAAAAAAACAAATTTATAAAGATTCGCTTCGAACACAATTGAACGAGATCGTTTCAATTCGATTATGTAAAAATAATTTACAAATTTTAATAAACTATCGCATTAATGAAAAAAATAAGACGTCAGGTTTTCGTCAGACTGTTTGCAAAGTTATTTATTAAATTTTTTTTCGATATATTATCGTATTAACATCCTGCAAGGCGATGTGTCATTATTATTAATTTATTTTATATTTATTTTTCATAATTATTATTAATTTATTTTATATTTATTTTTCATAATTATTACTAATTTGTTTACAAAGGTTTATTTTCTAGACGACGGACATGTTAACAGAGCATATGCCGAATTTGATTCTAAATCTGAATCTGGTCCGTACTTGTGAACTCTTTTTTCAAACATTATTTTTAATTTTTTCAAACATTATGGACACCTTAAGAAATTTCCGCCTTACCATCTATTATCGATTCTATTGACGAACTATTTATCCGCAATACCTATTGACGAACACTAAAACTTATCAATAGGGTCACGGCTCTTAACGGGATAAACAAACAATGTTTGAATTGATATTTTTCTGGTTATTTCTTGTCAAAATAAAATATTAAATTTTTTTTTGAATTATGGAATGCTCAATTACCATTATGTCAAAGTATGTACTTCGTCAGAAAAATCAACCTGTATAAACAATTGTACTACTATCGGTATGTACATCGATCAGGCCCAGCGTGGAGGTTAGCTTCAGAAGGAGGTCATCCAGCAGTTGCGCCTCCTGCTGCTGCCGGTAGATGGCGCTTAGCAGCGGACCCACGAGCGGCGAGCAGTCCTGCTTACTGCTTCTCAAGTACTCCTCAAACTTTACTGTTGCCTGCGAATTAAAAGGTCCACTTCAACTTTATAAAAAGACTGGAAAAGGATATAAACAATAATAAAATTATGAAAGCGCCATCTACATTCTTTATTGAGAACTGTAACGGGCAGTGTGATTGAGAATAGGGCAGCTTCCAAGGTGTTATTTTGGTGTTACAGTGATGCGCGCTCACCTTAAAATTACACTCTCATCATTTTTTCCATAACGCACCTAAAGAGGTATGACTTAAGAAATAAAAAAAAACACGCGGCACTAACGCGGCACATCTCGAGGCTGGGGGCGAGCGGCGCCTCCAGCAGCACCGTCGCCAGCTGGAGCAGCGCCACCTGGACCTTCCTAGCGCCGGCATCCGCCTCCTCGTCGGCGCAGTCCAGCTCCAGCTGCCGGGACGCGCCGTGCAGCGCTTCCAGCACGGCCGCCACGCTCGCCGAGCCCGTCGCCCCCCCGCCACCAGCTGGAACGTCCCCCATTCAATACCCGAATAGCACACCGCCCCCAGTCAATACCCGAATGGTAGGCACCGTGCAACAGCCTACCACATATCACAGCACCGCGCCGTGGTAGGCTGTTGCACGAATGGGCGGGTCCGTCCGGGCAAGTACCGCGACCTCACAGGAGCCTGGCATGAAATGGAAGTGTGTACGTCTGCGTTTCGTCTGGTGAGTGAGGTAGCCGGGGCTCACTTTAATAACAGGTGGCAACGGATCTGCACACCTACAGGTGTTGCAAATGTCCATGGGCGGTGGTCATTACTTAACGTTAGGTGAACCGCCAGCTCGCTCGCCTAAAACCTTCTCTCATAAAAAAATTATGACTCCGTAGCGCAGTTGCCAAGGTGTCGTCTTCGAAGACGGGGTTGTCGTCTTCGAAGACGGAAATTTATATATATACAACGTTGTCACGTTGGTGTCGCATTCGACTCACATATTGTTAGACCACCCTTACCAAATCGTTTCGGATCTGGGCAGTTGTCCACGTGAAATTTATATATATACAACGATTATGATCACGCGCGGTATACGATCGACATTCTTTCTTATTTTTAATACACACATGTCCACATGTGTAATTGCGATAAATTGGGTCTACCATGCTTGTGGAAACAGCCTATCGTGCCTGATGAAGCTGTATATAGTCTCAGAAGTCGAAATTGTTTTTAATTTAGCTTCAATTACAAAAGGCAAGAAGGTATATGAAACTGAAGACTTTATACAGGGAGATTTCCAAAATAAATGCCATTCTATTCCCTAAAAAACCGAACGTGTTGACAATGCGGTAGTCAATCATAAATTCCTAAATTTTACTGTGCACGAACTTGTGTGCGTGTTAGTTATGAATGATCGCGCGTAAAATAAATGAGTTGCCCATAAATCACGCACTTTTTGAGATGTTTTTTTTTTACGCCGCCAAGTCATCAATGCAATTTATAAAGTACGGTTGATGAAATTATCAGTTATTTAAAAGTAATGAAAGTCTGGTTATGTACAGGGTTGCTTTTTTAAGTGTATCCATTTTTTTTATTAAATTCTGGCCTTATACAGCGTGTCGTTACCATCGCGACAATAAATGAACACACGTCTAACGCTACTTGCCAATAATCATAAAAAAATATTAACGTTAAACAAAATCCATAATTAAAAAAAAATATTTTTCATACAAACTAATTAAGTAAAAAAGAAACAAAATTTTTAACATCCTATACAACTCGCGCCACAGCGTCGCATTACAAGCCTCTCCTTCTAACGGTATGTTTTGTCTCTTTTAAATTCATTCAACCCATTCATATGCTTTGTGACCTTTACAAATGAACTTTACGTTACGTTTTTATAGGTAAGGGTGTTCTAAAATACTTTGTTTTGGAAAATTTAATAACTCTGTAAATATTGATGTTCTTGTTGTAAAGAATGGGCAGGTCCGTCTGGGTTAGTGTTTAAATGTGTTAAATGTGTGTTGTTCATTTATTGTCGCGATCTGGTAACGACACGCTGTATATGTTATATAAAAATGATAAATATTTAAATTCCAGCGTTTTTAACGTGTAGGGCCACGCAACAGTGTTCTCTGTTGTACGAATGGGCAGGTCCGTCTGGGTTAGTATCACGACATCACAGAAAACCAGCGTGAAGTAGAAGTGTAGCACTTCTGCGTTTCGTCTGGTGAGTGAGGCAGCCGGGGCCCACTTTATTAAGAGGTGGTCAAGCAACTGCAACCCTAAGGGTGTTGCAAATGTCCACGAGCAGGGGGTCGTCACTTAACGTCAGGTGAACCGCCAGCTCGTTTGCCACTTTCTCACATAAAAAAGTAAGGAGATTGGGTGAGTTCTCATTTTGTAGGTATACCGGCACAGACATCTGCCATACAAGAGGGCAGTAATTGGTAGCAGGGTGGCGGAGGGGCGGGGCCGCTTTTGCTCCCCCTCGGCGCCCACCACGCCCAACGCCGCGCGCAGTGCCCAGCGGTGGACCTCACGCCGCCCACGCACCGAGTTCCTCTGCTCCGTCGACGACCACGACAACTCCTCGCTAGGGATGATGTTTATATAAACATCAATATCGGTCTTTATTTATCGAAGAGAAATTATATCGATATATCGATATTTTCTCTCTGGGTGCTGGTTACTCTGTTGTCAAAAAAAAAGGAATGTCAAATATTTGACACCTACGGACTGTGTGCCGGATTCGAATTTGAAAAAATATCGGTTTTGATATGGTGTTCGATATTAAATATTTTGTATCGATATATCGGATCCAAATATGTTGGCTGAAAATATCGATATATAAAATAAAAAATCACATCCAAGGACAACAAGGGCGAAATTGTTCCGTAATCAGACGTTCCATGAACGGTTTTAAAAATCTAATTAAACGCGATAAAATCCGTAAAATAGTTTCAATTAACAAATACATACAAAATATTTAAAACTTTTCGATTCATAACACTAATGTTCAATAAGTCATTGGTATTAGTAATTATATTTCCACAAGACATTGTTGTATTAAAATATATGAAATAATGGAAACCTGTATAACAATTCCAATATCCTCAGACAGAACTTGAGGTCCCACACACTGGGTAGAGGTTTGAACGGCCCAGTCCTATCCTTCACCATATTTGACAGTTTATTTGCTCCTTTGCCCTTGTCTTTTTGCGATTTTTGGCTTTTCTGGGACTTGGAGGTTTCTCTGGTTTCGTTCATATTCAGTTTGCTGTTCTTCTTGCTCAATTTCGACGGAGTCTACGAAAATAAGTACAAAGTAAATGTATCGTTTTTAATTCTATATTCGTAAATGTTAATAACTTATACTTAATAACAAATAAAAACACAAATACCCTCAATAACGATTGTTGAATCGCTTAACCATTTGACAATTCCTCAAAAAAACAAAATGCAAAATATATTTTGTATTAGTTTATCATTTAAATGTTATTTAAGTTTGCTTATAAATGCAAATTACATATATCAACTATATAACTTTTGAAACATTTTAACAAAAACCACCATTATATATTTGATGGCAATAACTTTTGATCTTTTTTACTCTATTTGAATAATAATGCAACTTTCACCAAACATCATGAACTAAACGATTTGAGCTCTATTTACAACTGTATTACTAACAAAAACATATCATTAATGTAAACCAAGAAAAGAAATGGTTCTGTGGTCGTGCCCTGAGGTACACTTCTTCAAACTATAAAACCGATAATAATTCCTTTTATTCACGCGAAAAAATATTTCATAATATATTGATCTCGATGACAATACACTCTTTATTCCTATATTTTACTCTCTATGGATAAGATACTAAAATGCAAACGTTGATGTTTTACACTACAGATATGTTGTTAACGCGCCCTGAGTCAGTAGCAAAAAAAGATGCAAAAAAATAAGATTAATACGGGGACGAGAAAGACGGATGCAACTCCGGATTTTAAGCTAAAGTGACAAACACCTCTTTATTTTTCTTATTGCTTTAATTACGCTATCTTTTTATATTCGTTATTCGAACGAGACATGTGCTTCCACTGTGTTTGGAAATAGGAACATTTTCGATTTTCGTAATTTTGTATGCGTATAACATATCTATACTATAAATTATCATTGGATATAAAGATAAATTGTCGGTTGACTGGTAGATAACACCTAATGGTGTTAAGTCCGCCTTTGTACGTTGTATGTGCAAAGAGTTTTTAAATGAAAAAAAAATACCTTTGTTTGCTCTAGTAGCTCATTGCTGGCTTTGAACAGCTTGTAAACGGTGCCGGCAGCGTCGTCGCTGTTCAAATTCCACTGCATAATCTGGTGCGCGATTAACGCTTCGTGGCATTGCAAGAGCAGCTGAACCTTTATATTATTGGCCTTCGATTCGGGCGTTAGGTCGTTTAACTCGTGTTCATCCTGCAATCATATTAACATTAAATCATGTGGTATCTCATTTCGGACAAGCAAATTGTGTGCCAATAACACACTTTTTATTTGCGTAGGTGGCAAACGAGTAGGCACTGCACCAAATGGTAGCACAAGCGTCTATTATATAAAGTTATATAATTGACACTTGTGTATATATTTAAAGTTACGATCCCGGTTACGTATATCTACGTTTGGTTTATGGTATCTTCCAGTTTTCGTCGGCGTTCTGTAATGCCGTGTTACTACCGTAGAAGAGCCTTGCAATACAACAACGGGAGCTAATGCTTCGCTCTACCTTAGTAGAGATTTAAAACATCGAGCATTCATACACCTCACTCATTCACTCACCTTTTATTCAATCTTATATTCAGATATTATGCTATATATTCTATTCCATTCCCTCCCATCCCATATTGTTTTAAGACTTTTATGAACGCAAACAAGGCAGTGGTTTTGAGAGCGGCCTATGTTCAGCAGTGGATAATACAAGCTGAAATGATGAGGATAATGATAATCTTAGCCAACCAACACCAGGACAAAGCGCGAGCTGTAAACAGTAAGTAAACAGTGGACAATGTACATAAACTAATTATTCTTTACAAATAAATAACGTGGACTATGACTCCCAATAAGTAAGCAACAGGTCATTTACCATTTGAAATTAAACTGGCAACCACACAAGTACAAAAACTAGAAAATAGATATTATAAGTTAAAAGTTGTATGAAAAACATATGAATTCCATGTATTTTTTTATTTCTTTTTATTTATTCTTTATTGAAACACCTTAAAAAAAAGGGTTAAAAAGGGCGGGTATAACGCCTATAACTATAAAGATTTCTCTTCATATCTACAGGATATGAAGAGAAATCGTGGTAGGTGTAATACAAAAATGGGATGATGAAACAATATGGATTCATGAAAAAAAATTATATAAAGATATATTATATCTTATTCCCTTTGTGCTATTTCATATTAATTTTTTCACAACATAAACTTTAATAAAGTATTTTTTGTACTCACCAAATCAATGTTAGCAAGGTTGCCGCTTTTGCAAAGTTTGTCCATGACGATGCTTAGTTTGCTTCTCAGAAGGGCACTGCCCGTCTCAACATTCTGGCTGCAGAGGATGTCTTCAAGGTCCTCCGTCTCGACCGGTTGGAGAAACTGTGCAATGACGTACAGAAGCCGAGATATTGGTTCCTGAAACAATGTCGAAACTATGCTATATAATGTTGTACTGAAAACGTTTACTATCCAGGTTCTGACAGTAATAGACTTTATGGCAGGCACCTAAGGGGATATACCATAGCCTCACAGAATACCAGTGTGCAGTAGAAGTATTATACTTTTTCCTTTGCCTTTTGTCTGGTGAGTGAGGTAAATGTCGACCAATGTTTTAAGGGTTGCCTACTCTCTTGCAAACTTCTGAGTAGACTATGAAAAGTTTTCTAAAATATTCATTTATTTAATCTAAATAAAAAATACTAATGGAATCTTGCACTCTTGCAGTGGGGTAATGTGCCTTAATTTACTCATTATCTTAAGCTGATGGTAACACTCAATAAATGATTTTATATGTAAATTGCTACTTTAATATAACTTGATGTCTTCTCTTATTAAGCTAACAGACTAATGAATTATGAATATAACATACTGTGAGGACAGCTGAGATAGCAGTGGTTTGAACACACTTATCAAAGAGCAAAGGACATCCTTCCTCATCTTCGGGTAAATATTTACTGAGGTGTTCATAGAGAATTTCCAACACCGGTTCATGAAGGACAGGCTTATCCTTCACACAGTTGTATAATTCTGAAATGATATATCTTAAAATTGTAAAGAGTTCTATTAAAAACTGTTGATTCAAACAACATTTAACAGCACACAAATCCTATTTGAAGTTTAACTTATAAAATGATCCATAAAATGTAACTAAAGTGGTAATATATTTCCATTTCCCGAGTTTTATTTTCACTCCTACTACTAGGGTTAAAAATAAAAATAATATTAGATTATTTTAAATTATTTAATTACTACTATATTTAATAATTTACTTACGAGTATATAAAAGCTCTTTGACGGCGGCGTCTTGTATTAAGCAGCGACGCAAAATCGAGACAACTTCCAAACACATAGCTTCGTTGCGCACACGCGACGTTACTCTGAAAGAGAAACAAGACAATGATACAACAAAATATTTTCTCATTATATTATACATTATACAATTTTCCATATCTATATGGTTGTAAAGGTAAGATTTTAAGATTCTTAAAGGTGTTTAGCTCCTGACTACGCCGGCAAAGCTGTGTGTAACTTTTGTATGCATACAGTGTAGCAAACTTGTGCACGAACATGTTCACTTGACACCTTCACAACATAGTATAAAACAAAGTCGTCCCGCTGTCTGTCTGTCCCTATGAATGCTTAGATCTTTAAAACTACGCAACGGATCTTGATGCGGTTTTATTTACTAGATAGATGGATTCAAGGGGAAGGTTTATATGTATGATACATTGCACCCGTGCGCAGCCGGGGCGGGTCGCTAGTATGACATAAAAAAAAGAAACAGTGACGTACGTGGCGCCCTGCTGGGTGGCGTGGAGGTCTACGGTGAGCTGCGTGAGGTAGGAGTGGGCGCTGAACTGGTCGGTGCCGCTCTGGCTGCCGCTCAGCGAGGAACCAGACACCTTCAGGTGGCGCAGGACGCTCAGGAAGCCGGACAGCGCCACGCGCCGTTGCACCGAATCCCTGAAGAGTACACAATTGTAATGAATACTCTTAAATAGTATACTTGTAAGCTCAGTGTCCGGGCGTTCGCCTTTAATTCAATATACTCGAACAACCTGAGTTTGATCCCGGTGCCGGCATCAATGAAATTTTAAGTGCCGACTTATCACGTGCTCCGTTGAGTGAAAGAAAAAATCGTGAGGAAACCTGCATATTTTCGAAATAATAATAAAAAAAATATTTGGAAAATATGTGAAGTGCGAATATTTTTTTTACTCTTGAATATACTTTGTTTGGCCGCTCTCATTATAAATGACTAAACTCTTGCCTCGACGCCCATGTTATAAACAGGCGTAAAGTTTTGTACCAATCCTTTTCAAGTGTGTTGCAGATTTTAATAAATTTGAAGTCTGAGCTTCAAGCACTTGGCAAAGTACAAATTAACCGCCTATACATAATAGTCCAAATTCAGAATAGTCCAAACGTGTAAAACAAATATTTTTTTTCTACTCCCCTTAAAAGCAAGGAAGTACAAGCATAAGTATGAGTTATTCACCATACATCTTAGTCCTCCATATTAGAAAAAGATAAACGCCTAGAGATTGAGGTAACCCAGCTCACTTTTTTAAAAGTTGTCAAAGCAATAGCCCTCAAGTGTTGTTGATGTCCATAGGCAGCAGTAATCACTTAAAAGTAGTTGAACCTATTGCTCACTTGACAACATTTAACTTAAAAAAATAAGACTTTTAAAACTCGTCTGTTCTCACATCTTTGTGTTTTATTCAATTGTAGTGTGCCCAGCTTTAAAAAATTTCTTCTTCATCAGGTAGCTGAGGTGGGTCTGTAGTTATTATTTTTCTTTAATTTTAGTTTGATCGGTTAGTTTTTGCTTTTATCAAATGTTAATTCTTTAGGAAATAATATTTTATCTCTACGATTAGTGATTGTTGTGTCTACTTGTAAATTGGTTGCATATATTTTGCGTGTTACACATGTTTTCCCCAACGCCCGGTTCGTATATTCATACATAACTTCGTAACTTTCATAACGACTCTGTGACCACTTCATAATGACAATGTAACTGACGGCCGTTCGTTGAATATGCGAACCGGGTTTGAATCACTCTGTGCATAAAAGGTTGATTCACTGTTGACAGTTAAGCGAGCACAACCTGGAGTAGAGGCCCTTGCGGCAGACCATGACCAGCGAGTCCCTGACGCGGGCGCTGAAGGCCAGCAGCGGATGCACGGCGTCCAGGAGACGGGCGGCAGGCTCGTGCTGGCTGCCAGGGGCGCGGCAGCCCTCCAGGATGCCGCTCACCTGGGCGCACCGCTCCACCGACACGGGGCTCAGAGCGCACAGCGTGTACAGGCAGTCTGCGCACAGAGGGGTTTATGTAAATGCCTGCACTGTTTCATTGTATTATCATGTGAGGGGGTTGCTCAGTAAGTCCCAACGACCCCCGCGAACTAGAAGATCTAGAATTGTAGCCTTCCCTACAAAAATGTATGAGTAATATAACATTATAATAATTAACAAACACCCATATCTGAAACAATTATCTGTGGGTCAGACAAATATTTGTCTCGTATGGGTATCGAACCGACGACTACCTAATTGCTAAGTTTGTTTTTTGGCTGGTTTGGGGAAGGCCACATTCGCATATAATGATTAAAAGAGCGAATGAATATTCCCTAACGCTATTCATCTCTTGCAACTAGTTTCGATTTTAGTAATTATTGTCTGGACGTTTGATTCCTTTTACTTGTTAATTACGGTGGTCCCAGTAATAAAGCAGTGCAGATTCGGCCAACGAAGCCGACACGTCAACGAAGGTTGAAGGTGAGTGCTCGTTGTTCCACTAGACTATTCGAGATCCAGACCAGCTCCGCTGTCTATCGAAGGTCACCCCAACAAAGATGTTTTATAGACCATTCAAATCACCCACAGCTTTCTTTTTAAAATTGTAGAAGTTTAGATCGGATTAATCTTTTGCATATGTTGTATACATATGTCGTAAAGACAAAAGGCCCCATTTAAGAGATAAAAGAAATGGTAATTGACAAAGGAGCCATCTATAACTTAATCTCTTATAAGGTACATAATTTTAAATGGATCTTTTCTAACATCCAAAAAAGTTTCTCTGAATTCATATCAACCCTTATTAAATTCAAATCGAAACATTCAATTCATAAATGAATTACTTTGAAATAGTAAAAGATCAACTTGAACTAAGGACGTGTACCGGTGTACTGTCTCTGGGTAACGTCTCCGGACAGCCTGTCAGCCAGCTGGCTCAAGATGTGGCCAGCCGTCTCCGGCTGCGACTTGCATAGGCGCACTAGTATCAGCTTCCCGTGCGACCAGCACGCGTGCGCCGCCGCCTTCAGCCGCGACACGGAGAGCAGCGCGAAGGCGAGGTTGATCAGGCCCAGCGCCGTCAGCTGGCGATGGTTGGCGCTGGGGACGGAGAAAGCGAGCCTTGGGTAATTGTTAAAATTCACAATACATAACAATGCAAAGTGTACAGCTTGTGGGTTCGAGAGGATTTAGCATTTTTTTTCTGAGGTGGCAAGCGAGCTGGCGTTTCATCTGATGGTATGTGATAACCGCATTGACATTTGCAACACTCGTAGGTTTGCAGATGCGTTGCCACCTTTTAATATGTCTCATATGGTTGATGACTCCGTGGCGTAGTTGCCAAAAGTATTGGCTTCGGCGTCGGGGTCGTGGGTTCGATTCCCACACGGAACAACTATTTGTGTGATCCACAGATAGTTGTTTCGTATCTGGGTGTTTGTCCACGTGAAATTTATGTTTATAAAACGTCCTTACAACACAGGATAATGATATCCTAAACTAAGCGCAATGTTTAAAAAAAAAAAAAAGCACCGGCTACCTCGCTCACCAGACAAAACAACACTTAAACTTCACGCCGGTCTTCTGTGAGGTCATGGTACTTACCCGGACGGACCTGCCCAATCGTGCTACAGCTGTACTGTTGCGTGGCCCTACTGCAAACATGAATCATACATTTACCATTACATAATTATTATTCTAAAATTACTAATGCACGGCTAAACTCCAATAGCAGTAACAAATACCGAATACCAAATAGTGAAAAAAAAAAACACATTATTCAAAATTAAAATATGCACATTCACAAAATGGAATGACAACATAGCCCGCGACTGTACGCAAACGTATAGAGGTATGAGACAAAAATGGATTTGGACTGTGGAGCGAACGAGAGGGCGATAGCCAGTACCAGAGCCGCATGACTTGGGTAGACTTCATTTCTATACTTTACCTCTCCGTCGTGAGCACTTTCAGGAGGCTGGTGACGTCGACGTCTGGAGGTAAAACGGAGCGAACCCAGGCGGACTGCTTGCTACGCACTTCGTCCATAGCGCGTTGCTCCATCGCTGACCTGATCGCCTGCACACATTTATTTTACGGATTTATAACATTCAACTTTTAATTCTGTGAAGTTTCGAATGGCCTGCAGGATGGTGTCATGTGGTTTCAAATTGTTTCAATTATGTTATAACACCAGCGACTAAAAAAATATGACATACAAACACAGACATGACAAACACGCATCCAATCATATCAACGAGTCCACTCGGAGCGGGGATATGTACTTTACAACCGTGGTGGGAGAGGAGTTTCGCGGAGTGTCCGCAGGTTGCCCGCAGTGAGGCCGTAATAGTGGAGCCAGTTGCAAAAAAGCTCCCTCCTTTTAGGTCCTTATCAGTACGAATCATCAGTATCAGTACGAAATATTCCCGTTGTCTAAAAAATATTCCAACAAGACGCACACGGCAGTATAACAGGACTGCCGCAGGCCGGTGATGATGACGAGCGCGATTTAGTCGACACTTACGTCCAAGCAGACGGATCTGAACTCGGCCTTGTCGGACACAGACAACGCGAGGTCCACGAGGAACGGGGAGCGCAGCAACTGCGTCCTGGGCCACAGCTTTATGTGCTTCCTGATCAGTTCCGGGTCGGCCGCGCCCTGGGCGATGTGGTAGATGCAAGTTGAGAGGCATCGACTCAGCTCGGCAGGACTGTGTTGAACTGAAACAGTCATGAAACGGAAGTTTAGATGACTCCGTGGCGCAGTTGCCAAGGCATTGACTCTCGAGTGGGAATCGAACCCTCGACGCCGGGGGTCGTGGGTTCGATTACACTCGAGACAACAATTTGTGACCCACAGACATTTGTTTCGGATCAGGGTGTATGATCCACGTGAAATTTATTTATGTAAGACATCCTTACAACTCAGGATAATATTGTCCTAAAGTAATGGTAATGTAAAAAAAAAGAAAGAAAATTTAATAGCGTAATGAGCGTATTGCCCTCTCGCTCGCGCTGCAGGCCTGATCGTTTTCCGCCTCGCTTCCACTATTCGTTCGTGTAGTTGGGAACAAAATTTTTAAATGGTTTTCTCAACGTACATTGTTTGGACTTTCGGTATTTTTAAAAATTACACTAAACTGGCATTCATATTATACAGTTGGGAACAAATTTGTTATTTTTTTTATTCTGTTATAGACCACTTTTTTGATAAGAGCTTGTGTTTAATTGCTAATCATTTGTAGCAGTTGATAATTTTCACTTAAACAATGAGGTATGATCAAAACCCAGTGATTTTTTGTAAGTGTCGCCCATTTCTTATCCTTGTCATATCCCAAACATATAAATAATACAATGTCATATCCCAAACAGTAAATAATATAATACCTATATCATCAATATCCATGGTTGTTGATTCAGAGTCTTGCGGTGGCGGTTCGAGTTTACTGTACAGGTGCAAGTTGAAATAATGGCTGAGTTGGGAGAGCACAATTTCAACATTGTATAACTTGCATAATCTGAAATATGTTAGGAAAAAATTTTTGTTGTAAACATAATATAGTGTCTTAATTTCTTTTGAGTATTAGTTATTGGTTGCAAACAAACAAATTACAAAATTATTTCAATTGTATATTGTATATTAATAAAACTATTTTTATCATTTAATTGTGATATACCAAACATTCTATGTAGTAAAGCAAAACAAAAAACTGGTAATTAACATAGAAAGTTTGACACGGCATCATAATGGATTCTTAAATATCTACATTAGTTACAATTTATTGCCACATAAATCATAAAATGAATTAGTCCTGTCAATTTTTATTTCTATATTCAATATAAGTATTGAAAAAACTCTTAACCACATTTCTAGGAGGGGTGACTTCACTAATGTCCGATTTTTGCTTACGTTATACTTAGGCTGTAATACTTCCACTAATGACTACATCCATCTATGCATCATCAGAAGCATGTGCCACACCAAATAAATTTTGAATAGTTATGATACTAAATCTTCACTAATATTAGATACGGTATTTTTAATAAATTTATTTAACTACTTACTTTAACAATTGATGTACCAATGGAGGAAGAGCCTCGGGTGGGATTCCCATTATGTATGAACAGATTTTACTGACCACTTGTTTATGATCGCTTTTAGATAATTGCATATCTCTGAAAACACAACATTAATTGATTAATTTACAGGATTGAGTGTGTTAAGCAGTGGTAGATCATCATCCAGGTGCTCACTTATAATTATATTCTAAAGAAAGCAACCTTAGTTAGATCCCCAGTCCCGGCACCAATAAAAGTGTTAAATTTAATTGGTCACATGCTCAGTGGTGAAGGAAAACATTGTGAGGAAACCTGTATATTTTCGAAATAATGACGGAAGATTCGAAATATTATTCAAAAATATATGAAGTCTGCCAATTCGCAGTGGAGCCTCATGATGGATTATGCCCTAATACCCTCTGTAAAGGGGAGGCCTTGGCCCAGCAGTGGGATATATATAGGCTGTTACTTAAGTTTACTTACAAAAGTGAACCAGCCAACAAATTTAGTTAAACAATCTGAATATACCATAATACCCTATGCACACAGGGGCTTTCCCCAGGTGTGGGACACACTTACATTATCTTTGTAATTCAATGAAATTAAATAATTATAAATACTTTAATGTTTTAGAATATTCAGATATGTTGTTATTATACATCATCATCTTTATGTATGTAATTCTTCTTTTGTGTGTGTGTTAATGAGCTCCTCTTAAACGGCTGGACCCATTTTAATTACATTTTTTTGTATCTTCAGATCAATCCGAGAACGGTTTAGATTCACAATTCGTTCCACTACATTTCATTATTTATATGTCGTCTGTCGGGACTGCTAGTGTTATACATATGTTTTGTTATTATACATACTTAAACATTGCAGCAAGTTGAACCAGCTGCCTTTCTGTCCATCTACATTGACACAGTGCGCGTATGCATTGTTCTTTATATTCATTACCAGACATATCTGTGCCGCAGTGTTTGATGTTGTCATGATTTGTAGCTGCATTTAAACATTCTGGTAACACATCCCTCCAGCTGTATAATAATAAATAATTACAATGTGCCCCAACCACTACATTAAATATGATCAAACAAAAATCCTCTCTAAAGAACACCGATTCCTTCCAAGGATGATCTGCGAGGCTAATGAAATAAAGAAACATCCTAATTTCAATAGAGAAAATGTTTAGGGTTTGTCATCTGCTTGGGATCTTATGATTCATAAAATTACATCAAAGGACACCAACACTGACTACACTTCAAGATACCATAGGCTCCTTTGCGTAGATCGGAATAAAAATAAATAAAATAATTGACAGCAGCCCGGGTTAACTTGAACTTTTTATAAACATAACTTTCTTTACAAAATATAACTTACATCATGTTTACATCACTGTCCTCCACTATGGATTGGACACAATCATCACTCCATCTGACCAATTCTCCCACTGATTGTTTGGGTATTTCTAAGCACAATCTGCTAATAACATCACCACAATGAGTGAGAGATGTTGATTCATTCCGCATTGTCTTCAGAACTATATCCACTACCTTGATGTAATGTTTTGAAAAACAGAAACAAAAATATTTACAAACCTGTTGTTAATTGGTTACAACCTTACATAATGATTGAGCTTTTCAAAAAATACTTCAAAAGTTAACATTGATGCAAACACTTATATGTTAAAGAAATAAAAAATAATTTTCAATAAGTAAGGCTGCCAGTTTATTAATTTGACTTCAAAAACAAAAATGCAAATGCATCACAACATGCTAAATATAGGAAGCTTTTATTAATAAAAATGTTAAAGTTGAGATAAATCAGTGTTAAGCATAATTTATCCTGTTCTGTCCCGTGACCATGAACGCTGGAAAGGTTTCGAAACATCGGGAATTTAGATCAAAATAAAAAAACGCGATAAAATCCATAAAGTAGTTTCATTTAATATGTATAATATTCGCGTAAATTCAAGAAAACAATAATTTACCCTGATTTATTTATAATGGTTAAGTTTTTGATGTAAATATTAGAAATGTGCTTGTGAAGGAAAATTTGTCTTCATCATATATCTGAGTATTATTTTGTCTTCTAAAAAAGTTTAGTTAGTAACTAACTACTAAGTATCAGATATTAGCCTCTGTTGAATAGGGTTTGCAAAATAATGATGGATTTCCATAGCATTAAATTAAAAGATTTAATTACATTTTGTCGAAATCTAGCTGTTTGTATTGATTTTAATTTATGAATATTACTTAGTAACATTACTTATTAAATGTTTGTAACAAAAACATACAATATATTTAATATAAACCAATAATATCTATTTAATTGCTCACCTTAACTTTGTTTGAACATGAGTTATCAGGCAAACCATTTAGAATACAATCCAATATCTCGGCACCATCGCTATTCAAAATGCGCCGAGATAGAAATTTGATGATCTGATGAAATGAAATGAAATAAATTTGATTGGTAGCAACCTCGCAAAAATATTAACGAAACTGAAAAACAAACCTGATCTATCTTTAGTTTGCAAAACTCTCTTAACTCTTCACGTTTACTGTTATTATGACCAAGGTCCTTTATTTTTGAAAATATTTTGCTTGGTTCCATATTACATGTAAGAATAATAAAATAATTATAAATAATAAGATGCCTTCCTGCTTCGTCTTCTAAGACAGTTGGCGGTCCTTATGATATCGCCAATGACACAATAATGGTATGAAAATTAATGGTTTGAAATATATAAGAATATCTTCTGGTTGTTTATTTTTGCCTAGCTTTTATAATGAAATGATGAAGAGAATGATTTTATGAATATTTAATAGACGATGCCTTTATCTTATAACAACCGGCGCTAATATTTAACTTTATTATGACATCATTTGACAGTTGACAATTATAAATATGACAGCACAACTAGAATGGCATTGCCTGCCTTGCCAATCGTGCCATCCGAAGAGTATAAATAGGTGATTGGCAAGTGGTGTTTGGCTATTTTCTCGCTCAAAGGGTAAGCAAGCTTATCTATTCATTATTCATCAGCGAGGAAATGCAGCTTACGTTCTTGACACCATGCGCGTTGACTAGATGGAATTTTTTTTTTTAATATTTTGGTGGATAATATGTAATTTAGTTATATTTAATGTTGGTAATATTGGATATTGTTAAAATATAATTAATTTATAGGGTTACATCCTTTTGAAATATAATTTGTTTTCATCATCTTTAAATATAGAAAAGTATGTCATCGGAAATGTCATTTTCGTAAACTTATCTTTTTTTCTACTTTCAAATAATCAAAATGAGGTGAAGTTAGAATAAAAAGTATTAATTACGAATTTATTGTAATAAATTAAAAAAGTAACTTTTTTTTTGAATGTTTCTAAAATGAAATAAAATATGTTGGAAGATTTAGTAAATTTCATTTTTTTCAAATGGTATCTCTCACCGTCCGTAACGCACGGATGCCAAAAAATGCTAAATTTAGGAAGAAAAAGTTTACAATGGAAGTTTTTAGGAGAAATTTTTTGGGAATGTTTTTAGGAAAAAAATTTTATTCACATGTATGAAAAAAAACCCATACAATTTTAAACACAAAATATAATATAATAGTATTTGCAGCTTTGTATATTGTATATAACAGTGACTACAGTTGGCTGCATTGGCTTAAGTAGTATTTTAAATTGTTCCGCCATAAACGCTTATTGTGAATATACGTCTACTCGTAATATATTCATTCACTAAGTAATATAAAATGCCAAAGGGTGAGAAAATTGCCATCGGATATGTTCAAAAATTTAAAGGCATGTTTAATTCAGATATTTTATAATTGAATGATACTTATTCTCATTGTTTATTGTCTGATTCTTAAAAATAATGAAAATAATTATAACGTCACAATAAAATGTATTTAATTTGTATAATAAGTCAATGAACAATGTTCAAGATGAAGTATATTAATGAAATAAATTTTTAAATAAAACAGTTTTGATCTACCTTGTTAGATAATTTAAAAAAAAGGTAACTTTTTAAATTTAGGAAGTTTTTTTCGAAAACAGTGGATTTTAGGAGGTTTTTGAATTTCTTTAGAAGTTTTTTTTTTCAACAGTTGGTAACACTGACGTAACGTCTTTTTGATTTTGATAGTGTTAGTGACGTCATCATCACAGTTTATGTTTAGCGAGAGCGAGAAGTTACGAAATTTACGAATTACAAAGTTAACACACTTATCTTGAGTACATATTAATGTCGGATCACTAATATTCGTTATTTGAAACGTGTGAATAAATTAACTGTGTGAAATTTCTTTTCCAAAACAAGATAACGTCCGTGACTGATACGTAACGTTACGTTTTGGCGGCATTGCACGAAGTCACATAAATAGATTTACTTGTGCAATATTCGACGCGTGCGGAATTCCATAAGATAATTTACAATTGGGACTAGTTTCTAAAAATTGGGTCACAATTCATGTTGTGTACATAAATGTGAAGATGGTGACAGAAAGGTGAAATAAATAATCATCAACATTTTGGATAAACCATGGAGAATCCAACGGTTGCTGGATTGAGGTCAAGGTCTCGTTCCAAGACGCCCTTCTTACGCTCGAGCTGCGACCGGGAACAATGTGCTGAAAGCGAAGACCATGTACATCATAAAGCCGGCAGAAAGACACCTGTTAAAAGAAGCACACCAATTAAGTGAGTCCAGTATATTGTTGAAATGATGTATTTAACACCTTTAATATATATGTTTATATTATATCTTCAGAAAACATTTCTTGAATTTAATTGTAGCTAAGCCAATTTTTAGCCTTCTATGTTTGAACTTTATTACAAAGTTGATAACTATTATAGAAATATTTAAGTTAAACATAACTTTTCCCGGTATACAATTTTTCTTATACCTATGTATACATAATATATATATGTATGAACACCTGCTTAAGATGTTGCATGCCACCTGCTTTATTAATGCACCTGCCTGAATTTAACATTAATTTATTGGAAAAAGCAAACTGGTTTAGAAAAACCATTCATGCATTGTACCATATCAGACCATTTAATAATAATTACAAGTAGAATTTGTTACTTCTGACAGGAAATGTGGATAATGTTATGTGATATGATAATGTTATCTAAAACTTGCATTCAACTGGAAATCTATCTAAAATAGATAAATCTAAAAATTTGATAACAGATGATTAACAAATTATATCATTAAAAATAATATAAAATAATAATGCTGAAATAAGTCATAATTTAAAATGTTTTCATAATGGCTATATTAAGTGAACAATTATAATTGTCCTTTTCTAATTATGTGTTATTAACTAATGATTATTTGTTAATTGGATAAGGTAGTTCAGGGCAGTATTATTGCAGCTTTATTGTTATGAAAGTTGACAAATTTTAAGTAACTAAAGCCTAAATGAATACCTAGCAGCATATTTTATGTCAATTCCTCTTATAGATCCTAGAAGTTAGTCTTTAGGGCAATTTACATAAATATCAAAAAAAAAATTTTTATGATAAAAGCTGATAATTACATCATTTACTGTTAAAATAAATATTAAAAATGTTCTTCTTTTGTTCTATTTATTTTTTTGCAAATACTTTTTGTGATTTTCACATGTATGTAAAAAAACATGCAAAAAAACCAGGAAAATTATTATCTTTGTTATCTGTGTCTGAATAGTGTTTTATGATGTAAATTCTCTGGAAGTAGGACAAGGTTATGGTGCCTATGGAGGTACAAACATTTTTTCAGATGATGATGTCATTGAAAACCTATAAAGGCCATAAGTATGAGGTCATTGTGTTACTTTATACTGACCTTACCAAATACCTGGAAAAGTTTTATGGTTGTTGCATATTGTCATTGATGTTTAGTGTTGCTGTATATGATTTAATGTACAATTAAATTGAATGTTATCTCAATCTTTTTTGTGATATGAGGCTACTTTATCTATTTAATAATAATATTAGGTTGTCTTTATCCAACAAGTCCAAACATAGGATAAAAAATATAGACACAACACCAATTGACCAAGCAAGTACCAAAAAGCTAAACAAACATTGAAACCAACACACCTTAGGTTGCCAGTCATAATTTATAAAACATGACATTGAATCAAAATTACTTTTGTAATGAAGGTCAGGTTGAACTCCTTGGTAAATTTTATCACAGTCGTAAAACGCACAAGTATGTTGCACATGTTAATTAGTAAGTGTTGTTATTAAATGATAAGCGGAGCATTTCTCTCACCTTGACATGAAAAGAACTCTGTTGTCTTTTTAAATATCTTAACAAACTTCTTATTCCCCAGTTTAGATAAGTTACTGTATGCGCTCAAGATATAAGATAAAATGTGAATTTTTATAGGATAATGGACGAAATAACTTTGGTGCTGCTGGGATCAAACTCTCTTTTCCGTTTATTTACTTCAAAAATTTAGAAAAAATAGAATTAACTTGTTTAATAAGTGACAGAAAACTTCACATATCAAAGTTTTTAAACTTATGTCTGTATGTGGTGGATCATGCCCTCATACCCTCTGTACTGAGGTCTTTGAATAGCAGTGGGACATAAATATGGTCTGTTACTTTACTTTGTATGGTCCATCTGTCTGGCTGTATCTCTGAACTGTTATAGTTAGACAGTTGAAATTTTCACAAATGATGTGTTTCTGTTGTTGATGACAGCAAATACTAAAAACGAAAAAGCAAATACTAAAAAGGGCTACCATACAACAGATATATTTAGATAATGGAGGTATGGAACTTGCCATTTATTTAGATAATGGAGGCATGTAACCCTTCGTGCGTGAATCCGACTTGCACTTACCCGTTTTAATTTTTGTATTAGTGTCAGGTAGTACTAACATTAATATGAAAACTTCACGATTATCTATATCATCTTGTGACTTAATTTAAATTTAAATCTTAACGATTTTGAATTCAAAGTAGCTTGAACACTATGGCATGTAATGACTAATGGGCATCTTGAGTTACGTAGAATGGCAGTAATTGGCTATTTATATTTTAATCGAATGTTTAAATGCACTCTCACATCTTTATCGTAATAGCCAACTGGATTGCTCTGTACATAGCCACATGCAACTGGCATACTATTTAAAAATAAAACAAAGGTCATAATTCACTTAGTAGTTGATATGTTCGCTTTTTGAACGGGTTACTAAGGTCCGTTTCGTTGGTTCAAACGAAAATACGTCACGGGCCATGATATATCTTTAATTAGGCACAAAGCGCGCATAGCTTATGTGCGTGTTTTACCTTTGAGAAAACAAAATATAGAGCTCCTACAAACTTATGGTACTCTCCCTTACTAGTGCTCCAATTTGTGTAACAGTAATCTAATTTATTCTTAATAACAATTTGGGAAAACGTTTAAAGTTTCTCGTAGTAATTAATCCAATACCATAATAAGGCTAAGGCTATAACAAAAAGGTTCATTGAGAAAACAAACTACAACCATACGCATTTTAGTACGTAAGGAATCATGATTCACAGTGACGTCAGATCAAGTGAAAATTCAATGCCAAAGCGGCAACACATTTTCATATTCAAATTCACGTGGGCGACAAGGAAAACATCGTTTGTTTACATCTTATAGTACTACGACCAAAAGCGAGGCTTACAAATAGCTTGACGTCAATATTATCTAAAAGATATTTTTATGTTTATCTGATATTTTTGTCTAGTTTTTTCAAACTGTCTCTTCTGTTTTTTGCCTACTTTTTTTTATTTATAGATATTTCTCACAAAACAAACGTTACCTTCGTTTATGTTTATTAGTCTTATAGCATCAATCATCGCTTAATTAAAAAGCTAGTTTTCCGCGTAAGAACATTGATTATCAGATGTTTTGGGTGACTAAAGTAATTAATACTCTATCGATCCTATGAGAAAATGTCACCATTAATATGCGCAACAATTCCGTAAGAGGAAGATAATCAACTTCCGCTCTTTGTCTCTAATCATACTGATTGCCTCACCGAAACAGCACTTATGAATTGCCAAGGTAATGAAGTACCGTGACATTTGATAATTGAATTATTGAAAAATGTTACAAAGTTTTAAGAAAGTCTGTCCCGTGACTATGAACGCTGGAAATAGTTCGGAACGTCGGGAGTCAAAAATCAAAAATTCAAAAGCGATAGAAAACGTAAACTAGTTTTATTTAATATGTAGGTATGATATTTGGATATAAAAACAAGAATTCAAACTTGTACATTTATTAAATTGGCCATATTATTAACAATAACAAAGCCATATTATTAACAATAACAAATCTAACAAAGCTACATCAACGCGTACACCAGGAACGATCTCGCAAATGTAAGTTCTAAGCGAATACTGTTTTGCAGACAACTGCAATCGAAGACGAGGGAAAGCGTGGATGTAATCGAAGAGGACCCCGATAATGAGGTCCCTACCGCGTACCGCGCTCGGCAGACATCGCGGACCACCGAGAAACTGGTCAAGACCTCCGACTACTCCTCAGAAGAGAGCCTGGACAGACTCAAGGGTCATCGGAAGGAAATCGTGCAGGTAAAATTGTAAATTTTTGTAGATAAATGAATAGAAATTAGGATTAAGGGTAGTGGCCATGCAACAGTTTTCACTGTTGCACGAATTGGCCGGTCCCTCCAGATAAGTACCACGACCTCACAGAAGACCGGCGTAAATTAGAAGTGTTACACTTTTGCGTTTCGACTGGTGAGTGAAGTAGCTGGGGTCCACTTTATTTAAACGTGGCAACGCATTCGCAACCCTACGGGTTTTGAAAACGTCCATGGGCGGCGGTTATTACTTAACATCAGGTGAGCCGCCAGCTCGCTTGCCAAATTTTCACATAAAAAAAAACTCACCGCTGCCGGATTAGAACCTGTGCCTACTGTCGCGCCCTGACGCTTTACCAACTAAGCTAAGCACCCGAAGACCTCACGGCGCTAAAACCTTGACATCTATCAACATTCGTTCTATTGCATTTTTAGCAATGCTAAGCATATTGAATTCATAATTTTCGGCAAAGTAAGTGTTGAAAAAGATATTTACGTGACTATTTCATAGTTAATGTGAAATGAATTCAACGAAATATTTAAAAAAAAAACTCCCATGTGGTAAAGAAATGGTCAGTGTTGACTTCTATTCGGTCTAATAAGTCTACTATTCTGACCTCACTTATGCTCTTTAAACCCGCGCTTCTTCTTATATTATTATCTTATTTCGTTTTATTCTTATATTATTCTTATATTCTTCTTATTATATATTCGTCTTATTCTTATATTATTATCTTATTATCTTATCTTCTTATATTCTTCTCTGCGCGTATTCTTCGTTCCTTACAGCGACTCCATCGAATCACTTGGCGTTCAGACAAGCGCCCATGTAAGAAATATGAGATACAATTTTATTGTCCTCACGTATGTGTACCGCGCATTCCTTTGCGATAGCAACCAGATCGATTATGTATACAGCATTCCACGGTCACAACTATGCGGAATGTCGACGGTGAATTTTAAGTCCATTAAACGACATTTATACTACACAGTCTGTTCGTAGCATATTTAAATAACACGTTATCGTTTCGTTATCGTTTGAATGACCAATATCGATCGGTTTAATATCGTAATGTATTTCACTTTGATAGACCAACCAATCCTTATCAAATTCTAATATCTAACAATGAACACCCAAGTGATATATCCCCGTAGTATCCCGCAGGACATTTTTTACTTACCCAGACCCCAGAAATTTTGTACAAAACTAAAGTAATTATAACATGCATATAAAATTGCAATCAACAATTTCATTCGAGAGACCGGGATTCAAATCTAGCTAAGGTATTGGCTTCGACGTCGAGGGTCGTGGGTTCGAGCCCCACACGGGACAAGTATTTGTGTGATCAACAGATAGTTGTTTCGCATCTGGGTGAGAATCGAACCCACTACCCCCGCCGCCGAGGCCAATAGCTTGGCAACGGCACCACCGGGTCATCAATAAATTACCTAGATTGCATTTCTCTAAATGAGCGCGCGTTCAGTCTGCACATTGTTCAGCGTAAGCGTAATGTGATGCGTTGTCCGACATTCGAAATAGATCGACTACAAGGTCAGAATCGTAAAACACTTATAATGTGGTTCAAATTCATGTTTGTAACCTTTTATTTTGATAAAAGACACCATTTTGGTCGTATCTACGGTGTAAATATGTATCTAACTCGCGGAACTGGTTTACCATCGGTTACGCATTGAGCGTAACTTCTGTTAGTGATTAAAAAGTGAAAAATATTTTTTTTAATCTGTAATCGCTGTCTGCAACCAGGCACGCACGAATTTAAGATATTGTCTATAGTCATTACGTTTAAGCTACGGAATATCCCACAGTATTCGGAACAACAGACGCCCGCGGCTTTCGATAATGTCGATAGTCAATGTACATATCTATCTATGTATATCTATGTATGGCCGCATATCTATCCCACAGGACCGTATATTCTGGAATGAAAATTAGCCCATGTTATTCCCTAGCTCAAACTATAACATCAAAATATGTCTCGTCCTCGCAAAAATCCGGCCAAGTGCGAGACGGACTCGCGCGTGAATAGTTCCGTCCATAACATTATCTATAAAACAGCAAAAAAATCATATATATCGTATGGGAGCTCCACTTAAATATTTTTTAATTCTGTTTTTAGTATTTGTTGTTACAGCGGCAACAGAAATACACCATCCGTGCAATTTTCACTGTCTAACTATCATGGTTCATGGGATACAGCCTCGTGACAAACAGACAGACAGCGGAGTCTTAGTAATAGGGTACCCTTTGTGTACGGAACCCTAAAAAGAACAAATTTGCGATTAAAATTGTTTTTCTACGCTAAATCTTCCAGTTTACTTATAAGTGTTCTTAAATTATTCTTTTGATATAAGAGCGCGGGTGCCAACCTTATGCGCAAGGTTAAACAGCTTTGAAATGCAAATGCGGCGATATCGTAACATGGTGAGGTCGTATCTCGTAACTACAGTTTGGGAAGTCTCGACATTTGCAAAGTCCCGGGATACGAAACCGCTAAGACCTAATTTCCTGAAACGTCCCGGATATTCCAGACTTCATATGAAACGGTTTTGGATGAAATGTGTCACTGAGATTAATCCCATTAAGTACAATATTAAATTCGACTTAGCAATAATTATGCAATAGTTAAAATTTTATGTTCCTTACCCAGAAAAGTGTATTATAATTTTTGTAAATAAACAGTATTAGTAACAGCGCATATTAAATTAAACGGAGATACTTTTTATTTTACGCACACACGAGCTCGTGCTGATGTAATCGTAATTGTTATCTTTATTCATATAGGAAAATAATGTTATTTGTCATCAATACTTATCGTATCGTATACACTATCAATTCAATTTCTTCGTAATAAAATCTTCTTACTATAAAATATAGGAATAAAAATATAGTATCATCAGAAATTATCATTGACTTCCAAGTCTTATAATATATAGAGTATCAATAAGTTTTTGTCAGAGAAGGAATATAAAAGTAGTCATACAAATATATATTACAAAAATATAATTATTATGACAGCATTTCGTCATGTTCCAAGTCCCGGGACTATCTTCTTACAAGACATTTAAATTGATTATAGTGCTAATGTTTGCACTTAAGATTGAATATTAAAATATGTAGAAAAAGTGCGAAAAGATTGTTGCCGTTGTGGGAATCGAACTCCGAATCGAATGCCGAAGACGTGGGTTCGATTCCCACAACGGCAACAATCTTTTCGCACTTTTTCTACATATTTTAATATTCTTACAAGACGCCAGATTTCATGGGACCCGATTCATTACGCAGCCATGAGATATTGCGTTCGTGCAATTGATCACATTTGAACTTTACGAGCACACCCATTAAAGCGTCAGTTCATTCACCCGCCGGACATTTTAACGGCCGTTTTCATTTGCCGCTTTGTTTTAATTGATCAACTCAATTAATAAAAAAAGTAACAAAAAGTAAAAGTAAAAGGGTTTGTATGCTCTTGATATACAAAATTAAAATTAGCAATAGCAAAAATAGTTCTTTATTTTATTTTTCTATATATATTAATAACTAATATGTTTTATCGATTATTATCAGACTATTTTATATCTCTTCTAATAAAAAATACTGTTTTAAAAAAATAATCTTGTCGAGCCACACAACAAACCGTTCTGGTATATAATTTGAATTTAACGGCCAATTAAGAGATAAAAGATATGTGAAATAATTCTTCCAAAAAAAAAAACTGTTTCGGACGAATTTTTATGAAAATTTAAAATAATATCATCAATCATTTAAAATCAAAATGCAGGCCGGTATAAAATTAAAAACATACTTTAAAAATAAGTGGCAACACTTCGTGTAAGTATCGTGTTACAGATTAAATATTAAACACTGGACCGAAGTCCAAATAAACAGTTCACATCGCCGAATAATCAGTGAACACGACACCTACCAAACTATAAAAAAAATTTTCGCGCCATAAAGTGTCGTTAAACCGGTTCTTATACGCTCAGTGTAAGTCGCGAGTCAGTGGCAATATTTCGAAAAAAAAAAACGTCCGTTGATAAAAAAAAACATTGAATAACAAAGTGAACCAAGTATACACTTACCGATAGAAAATCCTAGCATTAGTGGTTTCAACAGGAAAATAATGACTGAAGCTCAGAGGAAAACATCACACGGCAAGATATAACCGGCGTCGAACTTCCCCCGCGGCGTTTTATTTTTAAATACGGCCAGCACTACAGTTAAGGGCATTATTATTTCAGGACGTCTGTGGCATATCGGTCGCACTTTTGATGCTGAAGTTTAAACGTTTTATAGTGAATATCCCAATTGTTTGACCGCGTGGAGTCTTGACCTAGTTTTGGGCCGAATTTAGAACGCTGAATCGAGGTACGTATTAAAGATTTTACGCATGTTGCTTAGTAACGGACGGAAGTATTCTGTAAATTGTCTCGCGAATAGACGGAACCCCATCGTTAAGTATTGATTCGTTTGAAAATGGAATCTCAGTCGAAAAAGGTCAGTTAAAAAGTATTTGCCACAGACAGTCTTTTGATTGTTTTTTTCCCGCGTGTTTTTTGCCGCTTGTTTGTGATACAGCAGCTTGATAACGGCGTCACGCCCATGACTCACGGCTGTCGGTTGTTTTCAATGACGTCACAACTAAATTCGGCATTTCTGCGAACATCGTACTAACGCTGCACAGTTTAAAACTTATTAGATAGTATTGCTGAAACACAAACCAGCCCTCTTTTTGTGATTTTTAAGGTTTTTTATGTATATTTCCAAGGTGTATTTTTCCATTACAACTTTATATAAGCGATCATAAAAAATACACGTTTCAATACAGTATTATCGCGAGTTCATATTTTTTCAGTGTTTTTTTTTTTGCCCATGTGAATGAAAGCAGAGCATTATAATCTATGACGAATATGAAAAAAGCTACCATAGATATTCGAGTTAGTGATACCACTAAAGCGCCTTTCTACTCTGAAGAGTCGTTATTAGAATTTAAAAAAATGTGATCCTTTCAGCGTTTTCATATTTCCCTCCGAAAATACGTATGCCCAGTATATTCAGTGTTGTCATTTATAAAAAAAACCCAAAAACAAAACAACAATATGCTGCCGAATGAACTCTGTACCTCAGAGGCATACAATAGTAACTCCACATTTTTCAAAATTATTTTTCTTACACCATTAAAATCGCAAGAACAAACACTACACAATAGTATAAAATATTAAGTCCTACAATGAATAATTAATAAAATATCCAATCGTATATGACATCATAAACAGTAATGCGTTCAAGGATTCACTAGCGCATTTTTGCCTCCTGTAAAATTTGAGTTTTGCCACATAATGCTGTTTACCTCTGAGGTACAGAACTAAATACAACTAGAGTTGTTATAGTTTTAATGTTATTAATTAGTTGTGATTAAATTGTATCTATAGAACTAAGAGGTGCAGTGGCAGACTTATGGTGGTCCCGGTAGCAGACATTAATATAGTCTTAGAATACTTCATAACTATACGCTGTAGTTTGTCCTCGCTTACGAGCACGGCGAAACTAACATAGGGATGTCGAAAAAATATCGATATATCGATATTTTAGCCGATATACTTGGATCCGATACATCGATACAAAATATTCAATATCGAAATCGTATCAAAAACTATATTTTTTTCAAATCCGAATCCGACACAGAGTCCGGAGATGTCAAATATTGAATACGTGAAAGAAAACCAAAGAAAAGAAAGCCAAGAGTTAAAGTAAAATTTTATCATTAACAATAATTAATATCTGTAATTGATAACTTTAATATAACTCGTGGCTTTAGATGTTTGTAGGGTATGTTAAGTTTTATCTTGCTTGTATGGAGTGCACGCGTTTTCATCCAAAATACACCCGCGTTCCACGGCGACTCTCGCCGCTTACGGCGAACGATTCACATGGCCGAATGTCGACGGCCTCAACTGAATGTCGAAAGCCTCCGTAATAAAGCACCAATGTGTTTCTCCATGAACCCACTCGACGGGTCTAAACAGCACGTAGGAACTACGGCCGGTATGTCTTTCGTGTCCTAAGAGACTTCTCGTAGTCCTAATGTATTAATCCTTAAGTAGTCCTATAGACTGCGTCTTACACCTAAAGCAAGAGGTCTACGAACCACAATTGCTGTTGTAACATAGGTGTTTACGTGTTTTATTTTTCAAGACCACTGCGTTTGAAAAACTCCGAATCGCTATTCTTGCCGCGCCTTGTGAATTTCGATTCGCCGATTTCCGCACCTGTTTATGGACGTCCGCCAGTAGCGACGTGGAGCCACTAAACCAGCAGGCGAATCTAAAAATAAATTTGTTTGTTTTATTAACTATTGAGGCTTTTGATTATCTGTGCTATAAGTGTCGCGTAGCAGCTAATTTATAAGAATCTTTACTTGACCTTGATTTTCTTTGTTCCCATTCTACTGACTGATACGTAAATTTATCGGAAAACTTTAATATCTAATCTAGCATAATTATCTTAAATAGGTTTTGATATTATTTTGTGACTTACACATCGGTTAATTTCAACGTTCAATCAATTACTTTCAGCTATGTTGACAAGGCACAAACTGGAAAATTGAGGGAAAAATTCACTCCTCGTGGATGTAAACGTTGTGATCTATTTATATTTATCATTATACATTTTAATTATATACCTATTACATACTATATTTGTAGTAACTTTTAGCAATGAGCAGAAAATACCTATCAATAACCTGATCCCCGTTTTAGGATACGTAACATTTTTGGCGCATTTTCTCTCCCTTTTAAGCACGTCTTTCTCCAGTAATTTTTCCAAAGCAATAGAAGCGTATATTTTTAGGTATAATGCCGCTAAGAAGCGGCGTTCATCACTCTGTTTAAGTGAAAATGTATGACAATAAAAAGGTTTCCCCGCCGTTTTTGCGGCCCGCGCAGTCCCTGATCCGCGAAACGGTAAACGCTGACTCACGGGCGTGCGCGATTCAATTAGCGCGGAATATACTTGCGCTTTTGCTATTTTCGCCCAATACTATTATATACAAATACGAGGTAGATATTACACTAATCGCACCAACAAATTACACCAATAGGTGTAATAAGATTGCGGTTCTATAGACTGCCATCGCTCCGTATCATACGTTTTATATCATCTGTCACATTCACTAATATATGATATATAATGTAGAGCGCAACAAGTTTTTAAAAGCGGCGCAGTATGGACATATCATCAATTATTAAACATCATTGTTGATATTCGCCTACCGTTTTGTCCATTTCGCTCGCTTGCTCCGTAACAGTTCTTGTCTGAACACGTTTTTCGACGACACAAGTGAATGTCTCCGTTTGCTTTATAAGATAAAAACAAATTAACAATTCTCACGGCTTCTTTCTGCCCCTTCTATACAGATAAACCTTTCCTCTAATGCCCGGTTCCTATATTCAACGAACGGCCGTTAGTTACATAGCTTCGTAACTTTCATAACGACTTGTAGATTAAAGGAACGCTAGTAACTCACGGCTAGCAACGGCTCGTAATGAAAGCGCCTCGTTTTGTTAATATAGGATATAATAATATAGATATAAGATAAACTTAAATATAAATTTTTGTGGATATATATTTTTGTAAGTTACACAGAAGACTCAGGTTTGAATCCCGCAGTACCGACATTTATTGTCCATTTCTCCACAACATCTCACATTTTATATATCATACTAGCTGCCCGGCCCGGCTTCGCACGGGTGCAATGTATCTAGTAAAAAAACCGATTCAAAGTCCGTTTCGTAGTTTTAAAGATCTAAGCATACATAGGGACAGACAGACAAAAGGACGACTTTGTTTTATACTATGTATATTATAACGGTTCGTTTTCATTCACTGAGATGCGAAATCCTGAAGCATCAAAAATTTATATCGACAAAGATTTATATCGCTTTCGTATCAACAGAACGAGATCAACAGCCAGTATGAACGCGTGTCGACCAGCTCACAGCGGTACCGCAACCTCGAGGACCTCCCATTCAGCCCCATACACTCGTCGCACAATGTGACGCAAGACCGGTATGTATGGTTGTTATTATTTGTCTAGCTTGATTGATATCCTCTCTAGTGTTTAACATGATGTAGCCAATAGAAGTGCTTTGCATAACGAGGAATTACGACGTGAAACTATCATTTATCAAAGTTAAGTTCATTAATAAATAACATAGCTACATCAAACATCTCATACACTACATTTTCTATTTGGTTTTGGGGAGTTCCCTAATGTACATCCGGAATCAATGGTACAGTACCAATTAGATTAATATGAGAGCACATGGGAGATGAATCGAACCGAATGCGAAAATAATTTAAAGTAGCAAACATAAATAAATACAACCGAATAAGTATGGAGTACCTGCTCCTTTTTTTGTAGTCGGTTAAAAATACGGAGCTGCTTCTTATTGAGCTCCTCCGGGGAAGGACCATAGTACAAGTCCGGCGTAAATATAACTTATACTATTGCATTTCGTCTCGTGAGTGAGGTTAATATCAAAACTGGTTGGCAACACAGCTGGAAACTACACGGGTATTGTGAATGCCTATGGGCGGACGATGATCGTTTAACACCAGGCCACATGTAAGCAGGAACCTATAATAAATTCATTTGACCAATGTCTCGATATATAATTGAAACTTGAAAGAATAACATAGAAAGTTTAAAAGTCAATTTTTATGTGCTCTTAGCAAGACATCGGTGATCCATTGCGCAATTTGTAACTAGACTCTGCTCTACTGCTGTAATAAAAATGAAGTCGTAATTTTTCGAAAATTCTCGTGTCAGTATTCATTAGTTACTGTGCGAAAGCGTTCATTTGCGGGCCCTTGCATTTGCAGTCGCGCCACATGCCCCAGGCCGACCCCATGTGAACATAAATCGAGTTAATTATTTGTTCAAGCTTCGAAAATGACGTGGGGTGCGCGCTCCACAGTGGGGATTCGACCCTATTTTCGAAATCTGTTTACTCCAGACGCGAAACGGGGTCTTGAAATGTTCATATCGAGCGACAAACAGGAACCCTGTGACGTCAACAAATAAATTTTGTGCCACTATCTCTGATTTGGTCGAGCTTTAAGGTTTGGTAACGGGGAAAGTTTTCTTTCTTTTCAACCGACTTCAAAATAGGAGGAGGCTGTCAATCGAACTGTACTTTTTTTTTATGTGAGGAAGTGGCAAACGAGTTTTTATGTTTGTTACCTCAGAAATTTCGACTTATTGAACTGCTCCCCATGTGGTCCCATATTAATTTCGTGGGTATTGGATCTTGGACTCCGGAGATACGTAGGGAACTCCTGAAAATCAATTATAAAATGAATACAGAGCGAGATATTCGAAGTCTGTTTTGTTTTTCGTTCATAAAAAATTGACTTGTTTATTTTAGTCTAGTATATTGTAAAAGCTCCGTCGACTAACTCAAAGGTCTAAAACGACTAAATCATCGATAGTACTATTATAACTCAGGGCAGGATGATACGGATGACATTTTGGTTGGTTGGAAATAATAGGCCGTGGATGCTGTGTTCACATAATATATTCAATAATTTACTGAATATATGTATAAAAACCACTTCAGTCTTTTCATCGTACCAACAATAGCATTTCTTACTAGCTAAACCTGACCACGCTGTGGCGTCGTTTCATCGTTACCGTTAGAACTTCGGAATAAAAAATATATAAAAACACTGTCCTGTTCAATAGCTATCGTGAACAAATATCAAGTCATTCCATCAGCTACTTTTTGAGTTTTGTCGACACGAATATACGGAAGCTAAATTTTAATATAAAGATTGACCTAGTAAAAGTTAAAAAAATAAAAAATTAATGCGTCATAATGATTTCTTGTGTTTACGTAAACATTACTCGTAGAGAAATAAGAGAATGAAAAAGTAATATACGCATTTTGAAGCATATTTCTCGTAACCACGAGCTTTCTCGTAACCATGGAGCGTTCGAAACGTCAGCATCATAATAAAACCTCGTTACGAGATTATTTTGCCGTAAACGTTGTTTTGCCATATAAATTATTTCTAGGGAATTTGTAGGGTAGAAAAAACTGTTTAGGGTGGACCACCCTTAACATTTAGGGGGATGAAAAATAGATGTTGTCCGATTATCCCGATATGCACATAAAATTTCACGATATCGGTCGAGCCGTTTCGGTGGAGTTCAATTACAAACACCGTGACACGATAATTTTATATATTAGTTATACCATAGAAATATTCTCTACGTTTGTTGGAAATTCGCTTTATAGCGATTACTAAAAAAAACAGTGAAGAGTATCGCAATTGGCATTATACCAACGGAGACTGTAATGTTGCGTGGTCCCTAATAATATATTTCCTACATACTTGCCAGGTACAGGCTTTACGTTGATTATTTGTTTGTAGTTTTTTACACATCGGTGCCTAAACTGCTTTTTGACTTTTACGTTCTGGAATAATTGGAATAAATGTTGGAGGAAATGATGGTGCCGCCGCTGAGCACGTGATAAGTCAGTGCTTAAGATTGTAGTAAACAATTTCATTGGTGCCGGCACCGCTAGTTGTAATAAGTTTGCTCGAGTAAATCTGAGCACTGAGCTATCACGGCTCTGGATATCGTTATCCAGGCATGTATGTAAATATTTTGGAGCCTTTATCTTGATAATAGAGCACATCAAATTTTAAATGAGTACTATGCAAAAACTTTTTTGACTACACGGCAGAAAGACAGCTTATGTATCCGAGATTCGTCCTATTTAAAATCTCAGTGACAAGCGGCCAACTTAGTTTCTGTACACCGGACGAATACTTCCAATAGCATTTTTAGTCGAGGTTATTTATTCGTTTCTATTTACAACTCAAGTATAGTAATATACAATACATTACATATCACTTGTACGTAAAGTGTAGTTAAAGCGAGTGAATTAAACGATGGAAAAGCAACATGTGATAAAAGTGTAGTTAAAATGCCCCATAATCCAACTAAAGTATTACGGCACGTAGTTTTGAATTTCAACTCGCCCGGCGAAATAAGTTTTGGGTACCTCTGGTCACCTTTATCCAATTAAAATGAAATAACTGAAATCTGAGTTCGAAACATTTGAAAGGATCTTATAAAGTTAACGATCGTATCGTCTTAATCAACGTCCCAAGCATAGTGTTGAAACTTTCTTCGACTTCAAACCTTGTTAATGTAACAATATTAGCAAAATTTACTTAGGGCTAGTTGTTAAGTTACAGGCTTGGTCAGTTAAAAGTGTTTTAACAAAAAATGATAATAAACTTCGTGATATTATAAAATATGTCTAGATCCTTTCCCACGATACACCATAGGGCGTTGGCAGATAAAACCGAGTGATAAAATCCGGCTAGACCTTCCGTTAAACCGTGTTTACTTTTGAAAATTCCCGTTTAGAAGATCCATTGTTAGAACGTTTAATAATAACCCTTTGTTAGGGTTTAAAACTAAAAAAAAAAAAAAAAACATCTCGTGGGCAGAAAATTATCAGAATAATGTTTCAGTGCTGTGTGAAGTGCGATTGGGCATTGAACTATGTCTTTGTCTCTTATTGTCATTGCTCTTACTTTACGTACCATGTTCCTAGTTTTGTATCTGTATTTCATTATGTATCTAATTTAACCGCTTAATTAAATAGATAGAAAAGCATTAGTAAGTGTTTAATTAGTGTTTTATAAAGAAAAATTTAAGGTCAAAAAATCGATATTTTATCGCAGCTTAACTGTGGTCAGTATATTTTTGGATATGTATTTACGAACATCTGTTGTACATTTTGTTGCCAGTTTCCTGTTCGATAGATAAAATATAAAAATAAACGTGGTGTTGTTATGGTGTTGGAAAGTAAAATGCGATACAAGTAAGATTACACAACCTTGAAAACAATGACGTTTTAATAAGGCCAGGATTTAATACTACGACAAAAGGTCCATGGTTAGGTCCAGAAACTTATTTCCTATGTATTAACAGGTTTAAGAAATTTATTAAAGAAAACCTTTTTAAAAAGGGTGGTTGGAATCATGCGCAACAGCGAAAAATTTTTCTACACTACACATTTTCAATTCAAGTTTTCAACACATCAAGTTTCACCCGAAGCACAGAGATTAGGACTAAAAATAAAAGTTGAGGAAATTAGTGTATGTGATACAAGCATTCCCTTATTAGCCCTATCCTTATTATTAGCCCTTCCATGAGTTCGATAGAGCTTTGTCTATGGACTGAAAGCATACACTTAGCTAATTCCGTTAATTGTTATTTAATTGAGTTCCTTCTCTTTCCGATCTAAATTCTTTTACCTAGTATTAGCTCTTATTCTTTTATATGTTCTTGACTGTCTGTACGTTTCTATCCATGTATAACTCATATACGTGGCTTACTGGTTTTATATTAAACCATCTACAAAACGGCCACAATGCGTTCTATATCTTCTGTCACATTCACTTATACATGTCATATATAGTAATGAAAGGCTGATCAATTTTTGAAAGCCGCGCAGTGTGGACACGCGTCATCTTTGTTACAACCTCACTGCAGGTCGACCCGCTTCGGCAGCCCAGCGTACAGCGCCTGCTCAACAGACAGCTCGTTCGCAGAGCAGGCGCTAGCCGACGCCAGCGCGCTGCTAGAGCGCGAGCCCATCTCCGACCACCTGCCCTACAGGCTGTACAAGATGGCCGGCGAGTACTGGAAGTGAGTTTTTTTTTATGGGACAAAAGGGAGCAAACGAGCGGGATGCTCAGCTGATGGTAAGTGCCATCGCGGAACGTGAACATCTGCAACACCGGAGGGCTTGAAAATGCGTTGCCGAGTTTCTATTTTTTTTTTATGATTATTGTGGCAAGTAGCGTTAGAAGTGAGTTAATTTTATGTCGCGGTTGTAACAACACGCTGTATATGTCCTACCAATGAGGACTCCGTGGCCCTAGTTGTCCAGGTTGGCTTCGGCGTCGACGGTCGTGGGTTCGTTTCTCACACGGAACAAGTATTTGTGTGATGCACAGTTAATTGTTTCGCATCTGGGTGTTAGTCCACGTGAAATTTATGTTCGTAAAGCGGCCTTACAACACTTTAGGAGAATGTTATCCTAAAGTAAGGGCATTTTTTTTTAAAAATCCTTTGTACATAGTATTAGGATTTGCAGTCAGTAGTTACTCTAGTATATTGAATAAATACTAATGTTGATAGCTCAGTATCCGGGCGCTCGCCTTTAATTGAATTCACTCGGGCAACCAGAGTTCGATCCCCGGTGCCAGCACCAATGAAATTGTTAATTTTAAGTGCTGACTTATCACGTGCTCGGCGTGAAGGAAAACATCGTGAGGAAACCTGCATATTTTCGAAATAATAAAAAAAAAAGTATGAAGTCCGCCAATCTGCACTGGGGCCGCGTGGTGGACTATGCCTTGATACCCTCTGTAAAGAGGAGGCCTTTGCCCAGCAGTGGGACATTTAAAGGCTGTTACTACTACTAAAGTCCGCGAGGTAATAATACGTGGAAGCAGGTTGGCGCCTGTTGCCATTTCTGCCGTTTTAAGGGTCTTACGGGTAGGCATCACTATGCCTGACATTGGTACGTCCACTACGTACCACTGTCAGCTCCGTATGACCCGAAAGTACGAGAGTGCAATGGGGGCGTCCTGTTTCCACAATTTATTACTCCGCGGTCAGCGAGTCTGACATTAGTATATTAAATTGTAACATGCATAAAAAACGTGGGCTACTTTAGCCATACATTTTATTTCCACCTTAAATGCGTTATATTTAAAACTCGAAATGACTGCCCGTTGAATATTATTTCTAAAATGATTTCGCTTCAGCATACAATCAACGAAGACATTTACAGTTCACTGTTGCTAACAAACGTAGTGGTTATATTCTCTTTTTTGCTAAGTGTGTTTTGCATAACAATCGCTTGTTCGAATGACGGTTAGTCAGTTCAGTATAAAGATCAAAGGAATACAAACGTCAAATTTAAGAATGAGCGTCGAGCCGCAGTGCCATTTGAATTACTAAAATTTACACCAACTCTTCATGTTATCCTGACACGCGACACCTTTTATTGATGAATAGAAAATTATAAAACGTTTATATTAATAAAAACAAAAGCGACTTCAACTCGCTCGCTATACATTCTCTATTTGGTTTTGAGGAGTTCCATGTGACTCCGGAATCCATGGTACTATACCAATGAAATTATAATGGAACCACATGGGGACTGAACCGAATCTAAAATAAAAAAGGATTGATTTGAGGAGGTTCTCATTTCGGTTGTATGTTTATTAGTTGAGTTTAAACTCTACTAATTCAAGAAGTTATTGCATTTTTAAATCTAATGTTCTTTTTTTAAATGCGATAGTCATTCGTTTTGCGTATTTAATAAAATATCGCGATAGTGCATACCAGTTTGTGCTAAAAAAATATTAAACCAATTTATTATAAATGTACACTTTTGCAAGGGAAATGTATCAGCTGTGAGGGATAAAATATTTATCATTACCCCGGCTCGCAAAATTTTGGTTCTAATGTTGGTCAGAAATTACGTATAACGGCGACATTTTCTGGGTAATCTATGCATGCCCATAGAAGCCGACACCAACCGGCCAAATCCCAACATTGGAGCAAACGTTGGGGCCAATGTTATCTAGATCGACACGTCGCGAACGGTCTTGGGTCCAATGTTTGTTAGCGGCGTGCAATTATGCGGGTACGCGGACAAAAATACGTTGTATAAGCAATAAATCACTATAAATATCAGCCGGTTGTTATTTTGACAACTTATTTGAACTCTCGATATGTTACGGACATTTGTTGTGTTATTTATTCCGTGTTGACGTTCAATGCTATTTATAAATTGATTTGTTTATTGTAATTTTATATTGATGACGTATTTTACAATTAAAAATGACGAATATAGTGAAAATTGAGGAAGTGGAGTCGATCGAAGAAGTATACACACTGTGGTATGGAGTGATTTCGTTATTGAATGAATTTCGATTAACTTTAGCAGCGGCTGTCACTTTTCTGGACCATAAATTTATATACCGAACTTAACGAAATGTTTGCTTATATCTGACGCGATTACTTACTCCTATTTTTATAAACTTTTAGACTAATTGTGTAAAGCAAAGCGTATATTCGTCGAGAAAACCGCACAAACAGATCACAATAGGCTAGACGTAGTACATGGCCTATTTATCTGTTGTACCTTAATTAAAATAGCGTTGCCGCCGCTACATATTAGTAATGTCAGTCTACTGACCACAAATAGTTTCTTCACGCATACTTTATTGTACTCGGATTACTAAATTTCCCTTAAAACACCTTGCTGATAAGTTCGTTGACCATAATGCTTAGGATCCCGCTTGAAACTGTGTGTTTAGGACATTAACTGACATTTTGAAATGGATTAATTCTGACTTAATCAAGTCTCTGAATTAATGTCTATTAGAATAATTAACTGAAATTAATTTTGCAAATATAAATTTTAAGAAATATTATTCTCAAATGCATTCACGGGTAATTCTGATTCAATCGAGCATTCAAATTAATGTCTTTTGGAATAATTAACTCACAGCCGCACTCATAATCTCCCTCTCGCACTTAACTACGGCTAAAATTGCGACGTTAATCATAAGATCAAGTGTAGACCAGTCACTACTAATAGAATAAATTCTTTTAAAGACAAAGTGTCACATCATATGTTAAGTAAAGATGCATTAGCATGTCCATAAAATTAATGACCACAATAATGCCATATATTGCACCACATTTAGCTAATATTTTTAACAACTGCATAGATTCTGGAATATTTCCAGATCTTATGAAATTTAGTAAGATAATCCCCGTCTTCAAAAGTGGGGATAAAAATGATCCAGGAAACTACAGACCTATCTCCATATTGCCATCTCTGAGTAAAATTTTTGAAAAACTAATTTTAAATCAGCTCTTAGTACATTTTAATATGAACAAAATTTTTCACAATGAGCAATATGGATTCACTAAAGGCAGATCGACAACAGATGCGGGTATCGCACTTGTCTATAACGCCTGGGAAAGGTCGCAAGATGCAATAGGTGTTTTTTGCGACCTTTCAAAAGCTTTCGACTGCGTGGATCACAAAACCCTCCTTCTAAAGCTTGATTATTATGGCATTCGTGACATCGCCCTCAATCTCATTGCTTCTTACCTTATTAATAGAATTCAAAAAGTATCTATAAATGATGTAAATTCCGCAGGGTCCCCCATGAAAATGGGTGTCCCACAAGGATCGATCTTAGGCCCATTATTATTCTTAGTATATATAAATGATCTCCCCTTTTATGCCAGTGAGTTATGTGATGTTGTACTGTTTGCTGACGACACATCGCTTATTTTTAAGGTGGACCGAAATGTATCGAATTATGACGACGTGAATAGTGCACTCTCGCGTATCCTCCACTGGTTTACCATTAATAATATGGTGTTAAATGCTAAAAAAAACTAAATGCCTTCTTTTTGCTCTTCCCAACGTAAGAAGGCAAAGTTTTAGCTTAAAATTGAATAGCGTAACCCTTAATCCTGTTGAGTCCGCTGTATTCTTGGGAATCACAGTAGATTCAAAGCTCCAATGGAGTTCCCATCTATCATCTCTTGCGAATAGGTTAAGCTCCGCTGTTTTTGCAATTAGGAAGGTTAGGCAGCTATCAGACATCGACACTGCCAGACTTGTTTACTACAGTTATTTTCACAGCATCTTGTCGTACGGCATTTTGTTGTGGGGTAGTGCATCTGATATAAATTCAATATTTATTATTCAAAAAAGAGCTGTCCGAGCAATTTATAACATCGGAGCCCGGAATACACTCAGAGATCTTTTTAAAGAGATTAATATACTCACTGTTGCGTCTCAATATATTTATTGTAATATTTTGTATGTTAAACAGAATATTAATAATTATCAAAAGAATAGTGACAGACATAAACTAAATACTAGAAATAAGGACAAACTAACTACGCCATTATTTCGCCTACAAAAAGTAAACAGATCGTTCATGGGGCAAAGTGTGCGCATGTATAATAAAATCCCACAGTCGATGTTAAGTCTGACACTTGATGAATTTAAACGAAAAATTAAAAGTACACTTATGGCTAAAGCCTATTATACTATTGCCGAATATCTTGACGACGCCAATGTGTGGGGTTAATACTGTTGATACTCACGTAGGCTAAAACAAGACTATTGTACATGTACTATTTATTGTAAACTGTTTTTTAAAAAAGAGCAACTGTTCAGTTTCTTGCCGGTTTCTTCTCAACAGAAACTGCTTTCCGAACCGGTGGTAACTTACGAATGTGTTAATTTCTTTGTAAAATTTTGACGTTTCATAAGAACGCGCAAGCGTCTATGTGAATAAAGATATTTTATTATTATTATTAATATGGGGGGGATATTCATTTGTTTTCTCGTCTGGTTGGGTTTATAAATAAAAATAAAAGTATAGATACCTATTGCATATATAAAATAAATATTATGGATAAAAATAAACATATACATATAAATGTTGTATATAATACATATATAAATAGGACCCAACCAGACGGAAGCCCTTGGCAGGGGAGACCAAACGGCCGAGGGTTAGGGCGATAGGGAGAGAAACCATTGGACGATGCGGGCGGTATCGAGGAGCACCGCCTTCTGCATTTGAGCTTGGAGCGATCCATCACGGAGTCCCGGTCGCCTCAGATGTTTGGAGAGGCTGACTGGAATTAACCCATTCGCAGACACGACTATCGGGATAATTTCGGTCGGCACACCACCCCACATGTCGGTCACCTCGTGAGCCAGGTCCAGATACTTTGTCTTCTTATCTGTTTCGGCTTTCACGAGGTTCTCGTCATATGGAATGGTAATGTCGACCAAAAATACCCGCGATTGTGCCCGGTCCATCACCACGATGTCAGGTTTGTTCGCGACAATCGTCCTGTCCATGATGGGCCGGTCCCAATAGAGCCTGGCGCGGTCATTTTCGAGCACGGCCTCCGGAGAGTACTTATAGTACGGCAGTTTCCGATCCACGAGGCCGTATTTCAGAGCGAGCTCCTGGTGTAGGATTCTGGCTACTAGGTTGTGTCTATGCAGATACTCAGAGTTAGAAAGCGTGGAACAACCGGAGATAACATGTCGAAGCGACTCCCCGGGATAGCGACAAGCTCGACAGATGTCGACGGTGCCATCCTTTAGGATGTATCTCCGATAGTTGTTCGTCTTAATAACCTGATCCTGTATCGCACAGACAAAACCTTCGGTTTCCCCAAAGAGGTCACCGAAACGTAGCCAGTTAAGGGAGGCAACAGTATCTACGAAAGGCTCGTGTAGAGCCTTGTAGAACCTCCCGTGGAGCTCTTTCTCCTTCCATACGGCCTCTCGGGCGGAAACGCTCAGTACTCCCGGGTCCTGCCATTGCTCGTTGGCTAAGGATAGAGTAAGTCTTTTATCACAACTTATGACGTCCGTGTAGATTGACTCATCCGATCTCGCCAGGAAGTAGTTGCGGAGGCTGCACACCTCGCGATTGTGCATGGTAAGGGCGCTCAAAAAGCCCCTCCCACCATGCTTCCGCGGCAGGTACAGCCTCATCACTGACGATCTCGGATGATGCATTCTGTGGGACGTCATAGTTGTGCGGACTTTTCGGTCCAGGGCATTGAGCTCAGTTTGAGTCCACCTGAGTTTGCCAAAGGTATACATGAGGACTGGCATGACCCAGCCGTTAAATGCGCGTGCCTTGTTCACGCCTGACAAATGGCTGTTAAACACCTTTGTCAGGCGTGCAAAAAAACACTTCACGAACTGACTGTTTCATGCCAGCCTCATCGATACACATGTTTTGTGACATACCCAGGTATCGGTATGTTTCAGCCTCAGAGAGGGTCCTTATGTTAACGGGCATAGATAAGTCTATGCCCGCCGTATTAGTGACCTTACCTCTTTCGACATGAAGGACCGCACACTTATCCGTCCCGAGCTCCATTTTGATAGAATTGCTGAAATCACAAGTGACTTTAAGCAATTCCATCAAATGGGAGCGATTGGAGGCGAATAACTTGAGGTCATCCATGTAGAAAAGGTGGGTCACTTTTGTCCCTCCTCTCCGAAGCTGAAATCCTCCCCCCGAGCCCCCCAGTAATACGCTGAGAGGATTCAGGGAGAGGCAAAACCATATTGGACTCAAACAGTCACCCTGGAAAATACCCCGTCGTATCCTTATCCGGTATTCCGCAGCCGTCATCCGCTCGCCTAGATGACAAAGGATTACTAGTACTCCATTTAGTACTCCATTGCCCCATACAGTGCTCGAGGAAGTCTCTTACTGTACAGTCTGTACAGTTCGAGGACCCTCTTTAGCCATGTATGGGGCACCGAGTCGAATGCCTTTTTGTAGTCTATCCAGGCGGCGGAGAGGTTCCGACGGTTGCGTTTAACCATTTTACCAATGACCGCGTCGATGAGAAGCGGTTCCTTGGTTCCACGACCGCCGCCCCGACATCCATTCTGAGTACGAGACATTATGCGATTCACATTAATATGCCGGGTGACTCTCTTACTCAGAATAGATGTCAGTGTCTTATAGATGGTAGGTAGACACGTAATCTGGCGGTACTTACTCTGGTCTGTGGTAACCTGATCTTTAGGAACCAAATGAGTGACCCCAGTAGTAAAGAGGCTCGGGAGCGACCTCTGATCGAGAGCCTCTTGGAACTGCCGGGCGAGCACAGCATGACACCCCACGAACCCCTTCAGCCAGTAGTGATGCAGCCCGTCGAGTCCCGGACTTTTCCAGTTCGGGGCTCTACGGACTGCCTCGGATACGTCGTCGGGTGTCATGACGACGGGGTCCATGGGTGTAATGTCTGCACATTGGCTCGCCACGACTTGAGTCTAAGGGCCCTCACTGTGGTCTACGGGCTCTGACCACAGGCTGCGCCAGAAGGCGACAGTGTCTGCCTGGTCCGGTTCTTGGCCCGTTCCACAACTCATTGGTCGCTCCAAAGATTTGTAGAGCCTCTTTTGGTCACTCTGGAAGAGGCGATTCTGGCTAAACCGCGCCGTCCTCTCGGAATATCTCCGAATCCGCTTCCCCCAAGCAGCGATCCTCTGCTTCAGGTCATCTATGCGCTCCGTTAGTTTTTGCGTAATGTCCGGCTGGGACAAGTTATGTTGGTCCCAGCGAACGCCATCCTAACGGTGCGCACAATTCTGGGCCTATTATTGCCCGACCTGAAGCTTATCAGCCTGCCGATGATGGCCCTTACCTTTGCGATACGGTCCTCAATTCTTCTTCTCCATGCTGGGATAGTGCTACCTGGTCTGGTAGCACGTCTAGCCTTGGGAAGTTTGGCGCCAACGATTCGGCATACTGCCAGTGCAGCGCCAAAGAGAATTGAGTCCGTATCGCAAAGATCCCGGCTAGCTTCCAAATAGGTTGCCAGCATCGGGTTAAGAGACCTCACGACAGACCGACTCCGCTTACTTAGGGGTATGCGGGGGAGACGTGGTCGACTCTCGAGAGGCGTTTCGCGCACCTCCAGAATTGCCTCCTCCAATATGCTTCCCATCTGCTCTATTTCTTGGGCGACTATTCCATCATCGCACGAATCTACAGGAGCCGGGGGGTTAACCGCGGCCTCCGCATCTGCTTGTAACCCTGCAGGGTCCGCAGCTGGCGGGGCCGTATCCCCAGCCACTACATTTTCATCCGATGAGGGAACAGCCTCATGTCGTAGTCGTTCAAGCTCGGTATCATCAAATATTTTTGAGCGCATGATGTACCGAACTCGGTCTGCCAGGTTTTGCTCGGTGACGGTTATAGATGGCTCCAGCTCAACAAAAAAGCGATGCATCCTTGCCCGATACGCAAACCCTCCAGTTTCACTCCCTTTCGCCCTAAGATACGCCCGCATTGCGTTCCTATTCATTCCTTCAGTCCAGCGCAAGCGGCGTATTCCACCAGCGGCGGGTGCCGATTGCTGGATCCGAGAGGATCCTGCCGACACCAAGCCAACTGGTGGGGATGATGGATGCGAGGTACTGCTTGGTGGTCGTGCAGTACCCCGCGCTCGGCTGACGTCCCGCATGCTGCCACGTCCAGCGCCAGCTCCAGACGCGCCCTGGCGGCCCCCAGGCAGCGGCCCTATGCGCTTTCCTTTCTTTTTTTCCATCATCCATTTTTAGGGCGTCGTTTAACGGAAGACGCCCCCAAACCGGCACCGTTTTCTGTAGTGTGGCCGAACGCACAGACGGGCCTATGCACCCTCACTTATGCCGAGGCACGGTGCAAACACCTATTGGCAAGGCACTGACTGATTGCGCCGGCGCAACAGTTCTGTCACTTGAACTGTTACGCCGGTGGGCGATGGGGTCGTCACTTCCCTACGCCTATTATTATTATTATTATTATTGTTAAATTCTAAGTAACATCAATAATCCTTCAATGAATAAATAGAAGAATTTAATGTTAACTAAGCGCTAAGTTAAGTTTCTGAATGGAGAGTTTAGAATCTATTTATCGCATCTATGTCAGTACGGTATTATACCTTCCCCCTTTTCAAAACCTAGGAGATTGTCCTATAAACGTATTCCTAACACGGTTGCCCGGGAAATCTCCGAGTTGCTCTAGTTAGTAGGTGAATTGGCAATTCCATTACGTGTGTGCAAAACACGCGACATCCATATCTATTCGACACACACACAGAGCGGATCTTTAATAGTAAAACTAAATAGCCGCATCTAAATTTATACCACGCAAATGTCACTTGGAGCGGACCGCGCGCGGTGCTTTACTTTCGCAAATATTCGTAAGTGATCTCACTCAGTATCTTACTATCTTGCGTAGTAAATTTAGTACATCGTAGTAATTTGATAGGTCGCGTATAGTAACGCGATCTCTGCGGTCGAGAAAGGGGCGTATCGAACGCAGTGTTGGGAAACTCGTGGTTTGCACGCCGAAATAGGCCGGTACGGTGTTGCTAATTGGCGTAGTATTATAAATTCTAATCACATTGAGAAAATCGGCGAAGTTTTATAGTGTTATCTCTGTCACACATTCTATGTCTCTCTGTAGTGCTTCATGCGTGTACTGCAGGATAATTTTTCAGCTTTACTGCAATTACTTTTTGGCCGGTGGTATAGGTGCATTTAATTTAAACCAGCTTCTTGCACCTTCGCGATCTTGAGTGACTTAACTTGATTAGAATTCATTATTTAATTTGAATTAAATTTGCCCGATCATTATTTTATTGAAATTGTTAAATATAAAGGGTAAAAAACACGCACTATAATTTTATTTTTATGAAATCATTTATAGTTTTAATGGACTTTGACATTTTTGGAAGTAAAAAGTCAATTTTACCACGCCGTCAGACGTTTCATATATGTATATTTTTTGTAAGAAGATGACAAGCGAGCTGTCGTTTCACCTGACGTAAAGTGATAACCGCCGTGCATGGGCACTTACAACACTCGCATTGCAACTACGTTGCCACTCAATAAAGTGGGCCCCGGTAACCCCGATCACCAGAAGAACCGCAGAAGTACAACTATTAGCTCGTGGCACTTCTCCGGTCGGACCCATTCCAACAGTGCAAACAGTTGCGTGGCCCTACCGCATTAAAATATATCATTGATTTAACGAAATCCGCAGCAAGTACCCGAAGACGGACTACACGTACTCGCGGCTGTCCCGCGACCGCGTGGAGCTCGCGCCCGGCCAGGTGGCGGTGCCGAACATGTCGCGCCGCTCGCTGTCGCAGTTCCGCGTGCAGGGGCCCCTCGCCGCCGACGTGACGGACGTGCCGGCGCGGGTCGCGCCCACCTGGCGTGCCACCGCCACGCGCAGCCGGTACAAGGCGAGTTAACGCTTTGTGTGTACGATTGTACTTTTGCGTGATTTTGCGATGCACTTCTGTGCGTGACTCTATCGCGGCAGGCTGTTTGCGACTGTACCACGCCATCATAAATTATGACGCGGTCTCCGCCGACGTAACGGACGTGGCGGCGCGGATCGCGCCCACCTGGCGTGCCACCGCCAGGCGCAGTCGGTAGAAGGCGAGTTAACGCTTCTGTGTACGACTGTACCTTCGCGTGACTTGGCGACGCACTTCTATGCGTGACTGTATCGCGGCAGGCTGTTCACGACTGTGCCACGCCATGATATTGTCGTGGTAACTCATTTCTGTCAGTGGTTTTTCGCGGCAGGGTTTGTATATCGCGATTCGGCTCGGTGACACATTTCTGTGCGTGACTGTATCGCGGCAGGGTTTGGATTGTACCGCGATTTGGCTTGGTGACACATCTGTGTGTGTGACCGCGGCAGGCTGTTTACAATGGTACCACGACATGGTAACTCACTACTACTATGCGTGACTGTATCGCGGCAGGTCATATATAAGGTTTTGTACGTGACTGTATTATGACTAGATACATAAACAATGTTCTGTAGATGACGGTATTACAGCACGATATATAAACATGGTTCTGTACGTGATTGTACCGCGACAGGACTTGTTAACTGACTGGATATGAGTAGGAAATGAAAACCTATCTCTGTACGGCGGCTTCAATAACCTAGATCTTTACGTGACCGTATCACAGTATGAAAGGAAATTCTGTCAGAGATTTTATCACGACAGTATATTTATAAAAACTTCTACATCAATATGCCGTCCTCATAAATAAATGATCCCCAAGATTTATATCTAGTATATAATTATTTTTATTATGTTTTAATCGGCCGATTTTTGTAAATTCAGCAAGAAAATTAATGTTTATCTTCCCAAAACTTTGGCTGGATTTATTTTTAGGCTGGAGTATCGACACGAAATCTGAAGTTCTCATCCATTACTCGCTTGACTTATGACAAGTTCATAATAAAACGACGCCCTTCTTGCTTCCAGGGGGTAGACAGTTCGGACGACGAAAGCGCTTACGTACACAACGGGACGCAAAGCGCCGTCGAGGAGCGCTGGTGGATCACCACACTGATGGCCACAATCCTCACCAGCGTCGGCAACACCGTCAGCAACGCGTACAGACGGATCGTAGGCCCGTCGCACAGATACCCCTACACCGAGCGGAGACCGGCCAGAGGTATTTTTTGAAGTGAAAACTTTTTAGGCGCGTTGAGCGCTTTTTGGATGAACACAAAGCGTGCCATCGCCACTGAACGCTTCCCATGAGCTATTTTTTAAAAAGGGAATACGTAAAAATATATTTGAAGTATGGATATAACAATACTGTTAATATCGTTCGCAGTGCCTATAAAATCAGGAAAGGCAATGTCAAAAGTCAAACATATGAGAAATTAATCACTACAAGATAAAATATTACGACTGTCGAATGTACACTATTTCATTCTTTATACTATCTCCAATATACGATACGGAAAATTTTACATAGCATAGATTTGCCTGTATAAATATTTATTTCACAGCCAGCATCGCGTCAATGGCTGCCTCGGCGCTGGGCGCACCGTTCATCTGGATCTATTCAATTGTCAAAACGGCCGTCACAACCACCGTCACCACTATTACCGAAACGGTAAGACATTTTTGGGGCCTACCATCGACCTAAAAGAGTTTGACTTTTTTTATTTTGTCTGGTGAAGAGATGATTTCCATGTGTTCTTTTGTAATTATCTAATTAAAAAAACAATATTTCTCGAACTATGATTACAATACAGGAACATACGAACAAAACATAAAGGTAATTGGCCACACAATTAGCTCTGCATCTTGAAAAAATGCATTCGATTGCGCGATAGTCATAGTGGATAGTCGTAGATAATCGTAGCGATAGTCGTAGCAGGAATTGACCGCTCAAGCCAGCGATTGATTGAACGCATCGCACCTTTAGAATTAATGGGACCTAATTAATAAAATCATCATTTTGACTTTTCTATGATTTTGATTTATGTCAGGAAACGACCTAAAACAACTACCTATTAACACACAAGGGCCGATTTTAGAAAGCTACATAACGTATACTATACTTCGATCTCTTTCGCTCCCCTCCAATCACCGCGTTTGTTCATAAGTTTTGCACAAAATCTTTATTTTACATTTCCCAAACATTTTGATTTTTAAATAAGTCACTATAATTGTAACGGTGTGCGTAAACATTTCCCCCACTATGCCACTTTACGCTCAAGTTATTGAATGAAGGAATGAATGTCTTTATTGCCAGAATATGGTAGTACATTGTACGGATATTACATACCTATGTCAAATTATTAAATGTCAATATTACATAACAAATAGTTATATATATTATAAATCATTTTATCTACAAGCAATCTTGTTATTTTCGTTTTAAACGAAGCAAGGGGCAATTGTTTAATATAACGGTTATTTATTGTACAAATTTATGGACATAAAGTAAGAATTATTTTTATATACATTTAGTTTAATTTATTTATTATTTTTTATGTTTATTTGCCTTTCCCTATACCATTGAATACCAATAAACTACCATTAGTAACTAATTTGCAGTCACAGGTCTGCTGGAAGAAATTTCTTATGAAATAAGCAGGGCCTTTAGTGTAGAAATTCTTTCATGTATTTACTTTTCTGTTATAATTCTCTGTGTGCATAAATTATAAATGAAAATCAAATAAAAAATAAGCTGTGTACTAAACGAAGTTTAGAAACAAAAGTTCCAGGCAGCCCATAATCGCAATAAACGTATATTTTTTAAACTGCACCTTATAAAAGACATTATGTACTAATTTACAGATAACGCCTAATCACGTCGGCGAGAGCGAGAAGTACGTCGCGCGCAGTTACAAGTCGAAGGGAGAGAACAAACGACGCGCGTGGCCTTGGCTGTTACTGCTTCTGCTGCCACCACTCGGATATGGATGTGAGTACTGAGAATCCAACATGCTATAGGGCAGACTGCAACCTTGGGAGAGATAATAAATGAATTTACCGAACCCATCGGTGGTCCCGCCCTACAACACTATAAACACACATAGTAATAGCACACAAGCAAATAACAATGTGTGCACAGCACTATCCCTTTCCAGTGCGGTTCTTACCGCCCTCTGGCACCTATTTATATAGTTAATGGTCGCTATAAAAATAATTATTGGTCATCGGGGTCAGGGTCTATACCTAACCTCGATGGCCCATAGGTGACATTCTTCTCGTTTAAAATAACGCACTATGAGCACATTAGCGGCCCTACACAGTGTTGGACCATATTAAGCTTGTTTCATCTGGCTATCCCACAAGCTCTGTGTATGATGAAGATTTATTTGTCTACGGACTGTAAAGTAAATCAAATGAAAAAGTTTATATTGATGTATAGTTTATGTTCTAAAAGTTTCGTAATAAATGTTAATGGACTGCTTGAAAGTAATGTGAGCAGATATCACTCCTCCAATTATTTTAACATAAGGTTTAAGTGATGTTCCCCCGGAATGTAAAGCATCCAATGTGTATCTAGTTCTCAAGTTTTTTTTTCTATTTTACACCGAGACTACTAACTTTTACCTGACAACAGATTAAGAGAAACAGCAAACATTTTGTTCGATAATGATGAAATTCATTGTTGTGAATTTCATCATTAACGGTGACGACAACACCGGCGCCGTAGCTGAGAAGCTGAGGGCCCATTTCGATTCATTGTTGACAATAGACATTTGACCCAATAAGTAGCCCTTAATAATTGAAACTTGTTTTTGGATTATAGCTTGGAGAAAGTCTATTAAGCTTAGGATTTATGGTGGCATAAAAACAAATATTTCATTTGAATTAAATTAATTGTCACATATGAACTCAACCAGCTAATATTATAGTATATCATCTGTATTTATTTGTTACTACACTTGACATGTTAATAATTATATAAGAATGTAAAGTTTTTCAAAAACATAATTTTTGTTGCTGAATATACGAAATTCGGAAGCTGTGAAACGTAATATATTATAGTAATTAATTTATTTTAAATTAATTCAATATTTTATAATATCTTAAATATCTAGTTTTTGCACATTAAAATATGTCCCCATAGGAAAGTGGGCATCATCCTTACCAAATAGTTAATATTTTCACATTACGCTATAATTTTAACACAATTAAAAGTGAAAATTTACTCACGGTAGTTGTAATTAAGCAGTTAAAGCTTATTTAATTTAGTTTTATATTCCATAATATTTTAGAACTGAGTGAAAGAAAAAATATGGTTTTTACTTTCAATCAATATGTTATGTAACATGTCATTTAAATGAAATATTTCTAACGATTCCTTTCAGTGAACTACACGTACGCGAACTACGAACATCTGTCTATGCCAAACTTTACCGATTTCCATATAGATTTGTCGGAGTTCTACGCCCTGAAGCTGCCCAAGATAGCGATGCCGAACATATCGCTCGCGGACCTGAACGTGCTGCCAAGCATCAATCTGACCTTGCCAGAGATCAATATAACGATGCCAGACGTCGCAGAGAACATGCCGCGAGTGACGAAGGCGTACAGAGAGTACAAGGACATAGTGCATAACAGAATGACAGACGTTTCAGAGTACTTGACAGTTGTCGCAGAGAGCTGCTACGAGGAAATGAGACGCTTTTGGCGCGGAATAATCGGATGACTGCGAGCCCCAGTCGATCCAGTTTTATATATCGCGTTACAAACACGAACGGTTCTTTTTAAAATTGGAACGTTAAATTTTTTTCAGCCAAAAACGTAGACAGTATTTTTATGTGGACGCTATTAAAAGGAAACTGCTGTCAAAATTATTTATTTATTTTTGTTTTAATTTCAAATTATTCGAACGCGGTTCTAGTGCATTTCGTGCTTGTACTTAATGTTATTAATTTTTTAATCATCAATTCATTGATTCATTCCTAAAGATATCCTAATTTATAATAATATTTTTTTATTCAGTTATATAACAATAAGCGCAATGAACAAATATGTTAATATAACGTTTACATGTTTTTGAAAATATTTATTCTTATATTCAATAATGACATATTCTTACAAATGTGTAATTATTTTTTGTTCTAGCTATTTCATTCTAAGCATAAATACAGATTAAAGAGTCTATTTTTACATCAATATTGGGATGGTGATGTATATTGTATTATATTTTTTTTGTCAGTGGAAATACTATTTATGTTTTAATTTATAATAAAAACTGTTTATCTATTTCATACTAATACAATATATGGATATTTTTAATTTCGCTTGTGCCATTGGAAATTTACATAATTTGTGTACCTGTTTTCATTATTTAAAGCTTTACTTTTTTGTAACCGAACTAAGTACCTAAAAACATGACATGACCGTTAAGTTATACTCATTAAAATATTAATGTTTTATTCAAGTAATGATTAATACCTATAGATTGGAAAAAATTAACACTAGTCATAAAAATTCCTGTTAATGATCACAATGGCAAAACCATGCTATTTTTTTTTATTCAAAACAATTACAGTGTAATAGTAACAACAATAATTTGCGGGCAATGGAATAATTTTTGTTGTTGACCATTTTTTAAATTATTTCAATAAAAAAAGAATAAACACTTAATATTCATTATGTCCATTTTCCAGATTATAAATTATATTAATTAATATTATTTATGATAATAAGAGGTGATTATTTTTAAGTTATTGTTTCGTTGAATGTTTTTAATTTCTATCTATAATTCATCACTACTGCTGGGCTATTTCTAATTATAAATTGTATTGAACAGTTGTGTTTCTTTAACCCACCCCCTTTATCCCGAGTTCTTCCCTGTGTGAAGCCCCTTTGTAAGTTCAGGGAAGGATAGAGGCAAAAAAAGCATCACCTATACAAAGTGGACGTACTCTGTGGCACGCTACACTTTTAGGTGAGTTTTCATCTTCGTATATTCTATATTGTTATAGCTCTGTCCTTCCCTGTTATACGCTGTCTTTTTTTTCCTTCTTCAAGTCATAACACACGGGAAGGACAGAGGGATAGTTGAGACTGGAGATTTTTATTTATTTTTCTCTGCTTTCAGGCTACAACTACTCGGACCGGTTGCTGTATACAGAGCAGCCAGTGTTAGTAGACACGTACGCTTCGCCAGTTATAGAAAATGACGTGGGCCTGGCGAAGAGGATCGCGGGTCTCGAGAACTGGGCGCTTAACGTCGACACCAAACTGAGGTTCTTCGACCAAAAGCTGTCTAGACTGGACGGTTTGGACGCGCACATAGAGAAACACTCTTTGAAAATACTCCAGCAAAATCTTATTGAAACGCTGACCACTGACGACAACACCGGCGCCGTAGCTGAGAAGCTGAGGGCCCATTTCGATAGGTACTACACATCCCACGCTAGAACGGAGGAGATGAGCAGAGAGGTAGAAGAGCGGATAGCCAGATCTTGGAAGCCCGGCATGTCTGAAGACTCGATCAGGGGAATCGTCCAGGAACACCTGTCCACGATGGAGAGGCGGCACATGGAACTCCTGGCGGAGAAGTTTAAGGAGCATGTGAAAGAGATGGAGAGAGAGCCGAGTGGTATCAGCTTGAACACGGAGGAGATTAAGAAGATCGTAGCAGGAATGCTGGACGTATACGACGCTGATAAGACTGGGCTAGTGGATTACGCACTAGAGTCTGCAGGTGAGATGTTTGATGTTTTACTAGAATCATTTAGTTGTGTTTGCCATGATGTTATATCTACGTCAGAATGACGGTATTAGTTTTGATGATACTGTCAGAGCATGGAGTAGAGGATGCTTTACATTAACGTAATATTCAGATCCTAAATGATCAGGCAAAATGCAGTGATTAGGGATCTATTTAGTATATTTAATATATTTATCAATAACCTAGTATCTACGGTGCAGGCTTTGCATATTTTGGGACTGGGCTACGCTGTGTAATATTTATTTTATGTGAAACGTTGGCAAGCAGCTCGTCCAATGTTAAGTTAACCTTTAAAAAGTTCAGCCCCGATTACCTCGCTCACCGGACAAAACGCCAAAGTATAAAACCTTCACTTCACATCCGATTTATCGATACAAAATTGAAATTCATCATCGACAATCGTATCAAAAACGATATTTTTTCAAATTCGTATCCGGCACAGAATCCGTAGGTGTCAAATATTTAATACTTGACGTACCTTTTGTTCGATCAATAGGGTAACTAGGACCTAAAGATATATAAAAATATCTATATATCGATATTTTTATATATAAAATTCTTTTGTACGTGCGTGTGTCACTGAACACCCTAAACGGCTGGACAAATTTCGTCTTCAGGTCGATTCGAGAATGGTTTAGATTCACAATTTGTTTTATTTTTTATTTATAAGTTGTCGGATTTAAGTTGCGTGTACAGGACAACGTCTGTTGGGGTCCGCTAGTATTAATATATTTGTTCACTTTCGACATCCCTAATGCCGCAGGTGGCCAAGTGATATCGACCAAGTGCACGGAGCTGTACCAGATCAAGACGAAGCAGTACTCGGTGCTGGGGCTGCCAGTGCTGTGGGTATATACCTCGCCGCGCTACGCTCTCACGCCGGGCGCCATGCCGGCCGAGTGCTGGGCCTTCCAGGGATTCCCCGGATACCTGGGTGAGGCCTCCTACCTCCGGTACCCCGAACTGCCGGGTACCGAGATCACTTCTGCAGATAGCCTACCCCTACCTCAAAGGCCGGAAACAAAAAGTTTTATAATTTAAAAATATCTTTAATGAAATGGCTCATATGAAACGGCGAATTTTACATAATAATTGCTACATAAGTAACTAAGTAAGTTACGACCAGTTCTGTTGAGAATAGACCGGCAACAAACTCAACAGTTGTTCTTTTTTTAAAAAGTTCAAAATCAGTTTACAATTTTATAATATTATTATTTTAGCCTATGTGAGTATCAACAGTATTAACTTGACATATTGGTGTCGTAGTCGAAATATTCCGCAATGGTATAAAAAATTAGCCATAAGTTTTTTTTTTTTCATTTTGCCTTTAAATTGATGGTAGCGCAATTGTGATTCCTCCGATGTTGCAAGTGTCCATTGGCGGCGGTGATCGCTTACCATCAGGTATCAGGTATTCCGAAAAAAAATCTCTCCATCATTTCCCGATGTTGGCGCCCGCTGCTAAATACTGGATACTCCGCTGTAGTAGAGCTTCGCAGCAGCTCTATTGTTGCACGAATGGGCAGGCTCACCCGGGAAATTGTCATGGCCTCCCAGAAGACCGGCGCGAAGGGAAAATATAAAGATATAAAATTAGTAAGAAAGAAATAATAATCTACTACTAATACTTGGTGTGGATGCCTGTGCCCAGCAATGGGATATGAATGCACGGTCAGTTCTTTCATTTACCACATTAAACATAACGCGTGTACATTTCAGTTATACGAACATACGCCGTGATTGAAGTGACTGGTTTCTCGCTGGAGCACATGTCGCGACTGCTGGCCGTGGACGGGAAGATCGAGTCGGCGCCCAAAAATTTCTCGGTCTACGTGAGTAATTATAATAACGTTTTGTCACGATGAAGAACTTCAGTGTTATTCTAAAGAAAAAAGTCGGTTGGCGCATTTTGTAACCGATAGGCTCACCTTATACTATACAAGCAATAAACAACACCACAAATTATATATTTCTTTGCTGCTTTGTATGCTTATTACTTCAATGTGATATCAAGTTATGTCTCCCTTACCCCGCTACCCTGCAAAGGTAACGCAGCGTCGCGCCGATTCAATAATATTACTTTCGTTATAAAAAAAACTATTTATCCAAGATAAACGTCATTTAAAGACCTTAGTAACGTGTCAAACATTTCTTGACTTAACCTATAAAAGTTGTTGCCATCTTTGTCTGATTTATATCTCCAGTACATTTTTTTTTTTCAATGTTAATTAAATGCAAATGGTAGAGTTAAAATCTAAATCGAATAAACAAATGAACAATATTACACATCATTAAACACGTAAGGTCTTTGATTGCTCAAAACAAAAATGCGACAGAATCCGTTTCACGGCGTGCCCGATGCCAATACGCGACCGTCGTCCCACGTCGTCGGCGTCTGGATAACTCGAGCGTCCGCTTGCAGGGCCTGAGCGGCGAGATGGACCCCGAGCCGCACCTGTTCGGCGACTACGCGTACGACGCGAACGGCACCTCCATCCAGTACTTCCCGGTGAAGCACCCGAAGACGACCAACATTGGCGGCGTGGAGTACCCCGTCGCCCACAACATAGTGGAGCTGCGCGTCGAGAGCAACCACGGTAACCCGACGTACACGTGCGTGTACCGATTCCGCGTCCACGGGAACCCCCTCACCGACGTGCGGCGCGCGGCGGACGACAGCATGGCGGACAGCGAGACGTAGCGGCCGGTCCGGGCCAAGGGAACGGCCCCATGGAGCCGGTCCGAGCCGACGACAAAATCTAAATCAAGTGTCTGTCAACATAGGAGCATTACACTCGCTTATTGATAGTGAAAATACTACAAAGGAAATGACCGGTGACATGGAGCGGAAATTGGACAAAATCAAGTGTCGTTATACAACATAGGAGTATTACACTCGCTTATAGATAGTCAAAACACTACAAAGGAAACGACCGGTAACCGGAAGCTGGTCAGAGCCGACAGTCATTCGAAAATTGAAAATTGGACAAAGGAAACGACAACGTTGGAGCCCTCGAATCTTCGTGTAATGCGAAACTTTTGAAAGTTAAACATACGTCTGAAACTGTAGATTGGAAACGGTGACGTTCGGTCGTCCAATTATCTAGCATACGACTCTTTGAAGATAGACATATCTGACATGCAATTTTTTTATATAGAGAACGTTTTGAGTGGACAGAGATGACAGCGTTATTAAGCCGTAAAATTTTAGCCTACATAGACTTTGTGTATTAAAGTTTGAGTAAAACATATTGGTTGAAAAACTTTAAAAGTGGACGAAGGTAACGATGATACGGAGCCGTGGGGTGTTATTGTGCTTTAAACGCCCAAAGACTTGATGTTATTTTCAAATGTGTGGTTAAAGTGTGAATCCCTGGAAGAATTTTGGACCGGTTTAATTCTTCTAGATAAATGACAGCACGGAAATTAATTGGTAACTATACTTGACACAGGACTTTAGTTGACTTACATTTTAAATGACCGTAATGAATTTTTCGAACTTTTTAAAGAATCTATTCACTCGTCCAATTTGTGTGTTAACGATAATCTGATAGTGACCATTCCTAGACTGTAGCTGTAAGAATGTCTCGGTGGCCTTAGCCCGCGTTGTCTACTTAAGGCGACGTGAGGTCAAAAGTACAAAACAATTGTTGTTATTATTACTATATTTAATAAGAATTTATGAAATGAAGCAAGTATGTAACGCAGTTGAGAAGAAATTTCGGTTGCATCATGATAATCTCCCGTCAGCTTCGTTTTTAAACCGCACAATGCCGATGGTATTACGCTTAGTCTCAATTATTTTTTTTATCAATGTTTATAATTTTTTTTTTGTAGTTTTATCGTGTTTTAAGTTTTCTTTTTAAATATTAAGTTATCGATTGTAATGTTTTAACTCTTAGCCTGTAAAGCTTATTGGTACATACGTTTTTTTTTTTTTAATTTAGTTACGAATCACGGGTAGTCGGTCAGGCAAAAAGGCTCGCTAATGTGAAATAACCGCTTACAGAAATATATAAATCTATGAACGATACATATTCATTTCACCTATTCTCGTTTTTTTATAAATATAAATTGAACCATGATAAATGAATTATTTTTATCATGTCAGAAATAATAAATCGTACACGTCAAGTGATATTGGGATATTTTTGATGGATGTCATAAATATTCATTTTAAACAGATTTTTATAGTTATTAGTCCTCGAATACTAATATAGTTACTTAAAATTTGCAACATTACAATTCGCTACATAATTGTAATGTTGCCCACTTGGAATTATGTTTTATTATTGTCTAATGACGAAAAAGCCATCTGGCAAAGTCTCGTCAATTTGCAAATTTATTACGAGACATGACGCGTGTTATAATAAATTTCTCACGGCAAGACTTTGTCACGACTTCATATTTGCGCAAATTATTGTTGACCAATGTGATATCATTTTGTCATTGTGTAACAATTTGTAACAGCCTGCGACTTGAGAATTTTAATTTTGGTTAAATATTCGAAAAAAAAATATGAACCTATTTTTAAAGTAATATTAAAATAATGTCATAAGTAATAAATGATATATTTTCAGAGGGCACTTACGGTTAGATACGAGATTAGCAACCAATATGCCCAAGACCCCGCTATAGGCTTACTTATTTTAAATATTTTTTTAGTGAGGAGCTAGTCGATATAAAGGTTAATAAATTCTATGCCAATTATGTGTAATCGTGGTTTTTTTTTTCACTTTAAATCTCGAACGTAAATGCACTATGCGGCAGCGTTTACTTGAGATCTTAGTCTTTATTTTGGACGACAAACGGGTTTCGCTTTTCGCCTTATATTTCGCACTTTTATCGCTTTTAAAAACGCAACAACAGTTTAACTTAGCTTTCTTCATAATCATTATATTTCTTTTCACTAAATATTCTTGCCACTTCTCTTATCAATTCTTCTGTACTAATCTGATAGAAGGCAGCTTGCTATTACTTTTGTGAAATATTTATATTTTACCTGTTATAGCAAACTTATAGTTACAACATTAAAATTGTATAATAAAGTTACCAATAAAATACATTTCTATTTCCTTATGCTTTTTAAGACTTAACTATTACACGTACTACTACTTATATGTATAATTTATAGAAACATCAAAATGTTTTTCCAAAATGGAAGTGTTCATATACTCTATCCTATATTTATCATTTTACGATTTATTTAGGTTTGTGGTAACTTAACACCAATACGTATTGTTATATATTACAAAGTGATTTAACATATTTTATCATACCAACAACTGGCTGTTTAAATAACTCCCTCCATATTTTTCGTGCGTACATTTTATAGATCGACATCTCCACGTATTTTGTTAATTTATTACTGTTTTAAACTAACGTATTTATAATGTCGCTTTAACTGATCATGTGAAAAATGTTTGTGATGTCCGCAATAAAATTTTCTAGAAAACCTTAGTTTAATTTGTAGGTGTATCCTTCTTATAGATCTTTACTATAAAATATGTTATGTTTTTATGTCATAAGCAAAAACAAAATGAAATGATAATACCCAGAAACCTTTTAAATTGGTCCATTATATTCCCTTATACATTGGGCAGAAAAATGTAAAACGGAAGGCAAATGATGTTATTCCACACCGTTTCTTGAAGCATACGCATTTTCATATTATTAATAGGGACTCTGTCTCATAGCATTACTACATGTTAAAATAAGACTATCTGTGATTTAATAGGCTTTCTCTGCATATTACAGAAATCATAGTCTCTCTAAATCTTTCCAGTCTCGCTCGGCGAAGCTGAAGTTTAAGGTAGAGGTACTAAGTTTAAGGTAGAGGTAGTAAGTTTAAGGCTGAAGTAGTAAGTTTAAGGTAGAGGTAGTAGATTTAGGGCTTTCGTTATAAAAAGGTAAGTTATATGTAGGTATTTAAAGTTTAGTTAAGGGTATCAATAGGCGAACGAATTATTAAAATACATGTCAAGATGCAATAACGGTAAACCATAAACTAACATAATAATAACACTTCATAATGACTTATGCTAATATAATATTTACTACGTAAGCTCATATATTTAGAGTTTAGAAATAAGTAAGTAAAACAACTATGCTACGTAGATGCTAATTAAATTAGTTTTTAAAATAACCTTCCCGTGAATAAACATTAATATAAAGGAAATATTAAGTACTAAATTACGGGTACGCCAGCGGCCCCTACCGCTTTTGAAACTTTATATAAACTTACAATTCCAAAATTCAACTGTAGCTATTTTATAAAGCATTTTATCGCACAAATTTTCAATGTTGTACTTTTTTTATTGTTAAATGAAGCACCAGATAAACATTTCTGAGATAAACGCGAATAAACGCACAGACAAAAGTCTTAAAAGTAATTGTTTTGGGTTTTACTGAGTTGATAAAAAAATTTCTCAAATATCTTCCATGTACAGAAAACGATCAGTTAAATTTTTATTATAAGTATACTATAGATTAAAAATGCACATGCCTCTTCAAGTCTTCATGTACCGTACTTATCATAGGAATTAAAAAATTCTGCGCATTGTAATTTTGATTTGTATAGCGCTAGATTAATATGGCATGGACAATGCTTCACAATATGAGAATTCCGAAGCATCTTCGGTTAAATAAGTGCAGTAAGTACCTACATAATATAAGAAAAATGCAAGTCACAAAGATATCGGAGAAATTTTATAGTTCTATTGATAATTCATCAATGTGTTAACATTTCAAATGTCCAAACTCCAAAAGAGTATATTTTGGAAAGTTACAGACAAAAACATGTCATTAATACTTAATAGGAAGTCGAACTGTGTCACCTTCACCACAAGAATGTAGCATAATTATCTTGATATCGGTACCGTATGAATATACCTACCTTCTTAAAAGAAAAAAACGAATATAAAGAAAAGTGCCAACGCTATTTTTGCACATGAACTTCAGGAAATAGGTTAAGTCATTTAAGGCCCATTTACATGGTGCCAGTTTCTTGCCTGTTGTATACAATTAAATTGAAGCAATAAATGAGTTGCATGGTCTAAACAACAAATGGTCTAAACAATTATTGCGCGCAATTTATTCATTCAATTATTGCTCTTGTATGTACAAGAAAATGGCATCGTGTAAATGGGCCTTTAGTCTCGGACGGAATCGAATAATGTCACACAATCTTACTTCAGATATTTTCTGCTTCAATACAAAAGGCATAAACCTTTGTTTATATACTTGTCAAAGTATTTAATCAAAGGCATAGACTGATTATTAGATTCTTACTTCCTCTCGCAGTGGCTATATCGAGAAGGCATACATATTTAGACGTAGACTGCCTCATGTAAATCGTGTTGTCTATTTTTGTACGTAGGTCAATGTCGACTATTGCACTTCAAGCAAGTAGGCAAGGGCTTTTTACGCTCCTACATATTTGATGGGATAAATAAAAGGTATGGTTCAATTTTACGTATTTTTTTAATGCATTTTCATTATCTTTTATAATTTATAAATGACCTAGTAAGAAAGTAGTCTTATCCGTTTCAGCACATACAATCATCATTCATGAGATTACAAAAAGATCCTTTGGCGAGTGCAGTACCGAGGCCGGCGGCCGAGGCGCGTCCGCGGCGCCGCGCTCCGTCCTACCGTCACTATTACGTTACGATTTAATTACATATAATATCTTACGTACAATTAAATTAACGGATTACAAGCCTGAGTTGAGCAGCCGGCCGCGGGACCGACCGGGCCGCGCGCTGCTGAGGGGGCGCGCGCAATCGCTTAGAAGCACTTCCTGTGCACAATCGAGGGGCCAGACTCGTCGTACTCCTGTTTCGAGATCCACATCTGTTGGAAGGTCGACAGGGACGCGAGGATGGAGCCACCGATCCATACGGAGTACTTCCTCTCCGGGGGAGCGATGATCTTGATCTTCATGGTGGAAGGAGCGAGCGCGGTGATCTCCTTCTGCATACGGTCGGCGATGCCGGGGTACATGGTGGTACCGCCGGACAATACTGTGTTGGCGTACAAGTCCTTACGGATGTCGACGTCGCACTTCATGATAGAGTTGTACGTCGTCTCATGGATACCGCAAGCTTCCATACCCAGGAACGAGGGCTGGAAGAGAGCCTCGGGGCAACGGAATCGCTCATTACCGATGGTAATGACCTGTCCGTCGGGAAGTTCGTACGATTTCTCGAGGGAGCTGCTGGAGGCGGCAGTGGCCATCTCCTGCTCAAAGTCGAGGGCGACATAGCAGAGTTTCTCCTTGATGTCGCGCACGATCTCACGCTCAGCCGTGGTGGTGAACGAGTAACCACGCTCGGTGAGGATCTTCATAAGGTAGTCGGTGAGGTCACGGCCGGCCAAGTCCAGACGCAGGATGGCGTGCGGCAGGGCGTAGCCCTCGTAGATGGGCACGGTGTGGGAGACGCCGTCGCCGGAGTCCAACACGATACCGGTGGTACGACCAGACGCGTACAGCGACAGCACGGCCTGGATGGCCACGTACATGGCCGGTGTGTTGAAGGTCTCGAACATGATCTGAGTCATCTTCTCTCTGAAAGAAAAGTTCGTGGTCAGACCAAGCTGTCGTCAGAGCGGCTGCGATCGATCGCGTCAAGGTGATGTGAGCTGTGTTGCGAACTACTTAATAATAATGGCCCTAAAATCAAGATGAAATAACCATAAATGTAATTTTCAAAAGCCCTATATTGAACATCTAAATATATAGTTTAAATGAGTTTTCTTTCTTTCTTTTTCTACATATTTTAGAGTTTTACGTTTGTTAAGGTAAATAAAATATAACTTACTTTTAATTAGTTTTCTTTAAAAGTTAAAATAATTATCAAAACAACAAAATATTAACTACTAACATTTCATTAATTACATTCATTAATAGAAATTTTGATTTTTTTTTTACTCAGGTCAATGAAGTGATTCATAAAATATTTTTCATGGCCTGTAGTAACTTGGCAAGACAGGTTGTGGGACCTACCTGTTGGCTTTGGGGTTTAGGGGTGCCTCTGTGAGCAGCACGGGGTGCTCCTCGGGCGCTACACGCAGCTCGTTGTAGAAGGTGTGGTGCCAGATCTTTTCCATGTCGTCCCAGTTGGTGACGATGCCGTGCTCGATGGGGTACTTCAGGGTGAGGATACCCCTCTTGCTCTGCGCCTCATCACCCACATAGGAGTCCTTCTGTCCCATGCCGACCATCACGCCCTGATGACGAGGGCGGCCCACGATCGATGGGAAGACGGCACGCGGGGCGTCGTCACCAGCGAACCCAGCCTTGCACATACCGGAGCCATTGTCCACTACCAACGCGGCAACTTCTTCGTCGCACATTTTGAATTAGTCTGCAAAAGAAGAGAACGTAAATTAGTTATTGGATATTTTAAACATACAACATTGAATTGTTAGTTCCTTTATGTAATTATTCAGTTTTAAAACAAAAATCGTCTAAAGTTTCTATAATAACGCAGTGGGCGAGTAAGGCTTCCATTCCGTGACATGCTAAGTGGGCGAAGTTGCGAATCGAGACCAAATAAGGCCGGGTCTAACTAGAAGCCACGAGGCGTGGGGACGTGGCGCGGTCGGCATGGCGATGTTAAAATTTTATATTAATGTGGGCGAATAGAGAAAAATCGCAATTGCGACAAAACTTATTTTAAAATCCACATGTCCTTCGAACAATTATGGACCCCGGACCACGCCCTACCGCAACCGGCATCCCGGGTGCCAGCGTGACTCGCACCGGGCCCTAGCCCATGTCACTGACCCGCACCTCACTTATTGCACTATACGATTAATCACTGCCACTGGAATATTCACAATCACAAAAATATCACGTCGCATCAACTTACTTTAATTTAAATAGTCCTATTAAATAAATAAATTATATCGCTATTTGCACAGCCTCGGTTCTGCTGCACAACGCCTCAACTCAAGCACACTTCGTGGAATGTCGGCGTTCGAGGCGCACCGAGTATATATGAGGCTGGTTATCGGGGCTCCCCTACCCGCGACCGCGGCTAGCTCTCCACCAATCGCACAAATCGTGAGTTTTCGTAACCATATATGGTATTGCGCCGCAGGGAGCCTGCGCGTCCCCCCCGCAGCCCCCCGACCCTCGTCCACCCGTCGTTGATAGCACACGCTACTTGATAACGCGATCCCCAGTGAACCAACTCACATTGGCCACCTCTCATGCAGTATCAGTATCACTCACTACCTCACATGCAGTATCCGCACTACACTGTGGATTTACGTAAAAAAAACTTACGATATTAATGATAAAAAGACATCAGTAATAAATACATTTAACGTACCTGGATTAATAAATTGAAAGAAACAATATACAAAGGACAACAGATAGGACTTATTAGTATTAAACATTTTATTTCAACAAAGATTAATTATCAATGAAGTCACGCTACTGTGCGCGGCAACATTAAAAACTAATTATATTAACGTTACAACTTTATATTAAAAGATTAATAATCAAACTATAAATAACGTAAGACTTACCAGTTATTGGAGCAACAAAAAACGATACTTCAGCAATCAACGATTGGTGAGAAATGCCGGCCGGTTCTGTGGTGTGGCGGCTGTCGCTCGCTCGTTTTGCGGAGGTCGATCTGCTTCACTAGCACTAAAACGATATGCCGCCGCTGTGGAACAATGGACTCGACCAACGGACCCTGTGGGTGTTAAACAAATAGAGAATTTGACAAAAGCTATAGAAAACTATCATTCAAAATGAAGTTACCAAATATTTTATTAACAGCTCCCAACTTCAATTGACATATGTCATATAATTGTTATCCTTTTAAATTTAGAATGTTATTTTTCATTGCCGTTTATTGGACTCGACCGACCTCCCCACTCACAGCAACCGACGGTTTTACCATATATGGGCATAGGGAAAATCCTGAGCTCTGATTGGTCGACGCCACAACGGTCACCGTACGTACGTAGCGTAGCGCACTCAAACATGTACAAAATAAGCTAAGTTTTATTTGTGTTTGTGTCTGGGTCTGGTAAAAAACGATTCATTCAATTTCAATCGGATATCGCTTGAGTTGTGACAATGCTATGTGTACGAATTGTGAATGTCGCACTATGGTTCAGCAACTGAGTTGTTTATTGTACTTTTCATTTTGTACATTTACCGACCTTACCGCATACAATCTGCCGCCATCTGCATTTTTGCAGTTCATTGTGATCACGTGAAACATGCATAGGGCAGAAGATATAGATAGGTAGGTGTACTAATAGTAATATACTATGTATGTAGTTTAACATCTAGTATCTTCAATAATCGCTGTTAATAAAATCACCGTGCTGAAACAATCCTTGATTTTAAAACTGTATTTACACTTTTCAAATAACAACAGATTCATTTTCTTTGTTTTTGATTATAAAATGTTATTTGTTTAATAGTTGTACAAATAATACCAATAAAAAAGTAAAATGTATAACTTTTTTATTGGTCTGAGATTTGAGAATATAGTTGTATATGGTATTTATATAATATACCTACGGTATTAAATGTATCGACATTGCACATTATTAATTGTTAACGTACATACCTATATGTCTAGATGTATAACATGAGATGGATATTGACCGATTCAGCTTGTCTCAGCGACGAATCATATCTGTGAGTCATAGATTGGCTGGCGCATGCGTATTGCGTACTACGTAGTACGTACATCGTGCGACATTGCGATTAACTGATGAGTCAATATAACCTATAATATAACCTATATAACCCTAAGCCGTGGCTCTTGGACCCGGCAACGTCGACCTCCGCTTCCGTATATTGGGGCCGTAAAGTGAGGTCAAGGACGGAGGTTAGATCTAAAATAAACACGACGGCAGCATGTACAAGAAATTCCAATTTTTTGAATAGATAGTCTGTAAGTCTAAACATAGAAAGTATAAAATAAATATGTGGTAAGTAATAAATATGTGGTCATGATCCTCATTCGTGAGGGAACGACGAAGAAGAAGAACCGTGGCGCAATGGCCAACGTATTGGTTTAGTGCTAGGGGTCGTGGGTTCGATCCCGCACTAGACCACTATTTGTGTGTTCGACCAATTATGAAATTTATATACGTAAAACGGCCTTACAAGTTACAACAATGAATAATGTTATCTTACAATAAGGGGCAATGTTTTCGAAGGGAAGACTGTATAGATCGCTTGGTCGTTGGGACTTGCTACCCAATCCCTTCCAAACAAAATAGAAATATAAATACAAATTCCCTATTTTCTGATTTCATGGTATATAGCCATGACATCAGAAAATAATAAATACTTAGTACCTTATACTAATACCTTAACCGATAAGTATCTAACATAGTGTGACATGTATTGTCTCGTGTTCTTTAACTTCCATACTTACTTCTTTTACTTCCTTTCGTTATCTTGTTATTTCACTTTTATTTTAACTGATGTTTTGACTTTCAGTCCCGTAAATCATTAAAGCGGCATTGAACCCAGAACTCATGGGCTAGCCAGAACGTGGCTTAGGGATGTCAGAAAAATATCGATATTTCGATAGTTTTGGTTTTACATATCGTTTTGTATATTTTTAGCCGATATATTTGGATCCGATATATCGATATATTCAATATTCAATATTGAAACCGTATCAAAAACGATATTTGTTCAAATTCGTATCCGACACAGAGTCCGGAGATGTCAAATATATGTATAAATATATAAGAGATTTCCACCGATAATAGACTCATCACGATATCTCTGGAACCATAAGGCGTAGAGACTTGAAATGTGGTAGGAATATTCCTTTCGCCGAATAGAGATCAGCTTACGAAATTCTACAAAACAACGTTTTCCGGATCAGCTAGTATATTTTTATACATGATACAAGTATTATTACTTGACATACCTTAGTTTTTCGGACAACGGGGCCTAGAGAAAATATCGATATATTTCTTCACTTTCGACATCCCCAACGTGGGTGCTGGCTAGCCCGAGTTCGTGGGTGCTGGCTAGCCCGAGTTCGTGGGAGCTTGATACTGCCTCATGTGTGCATTATCATAAACGGGAGATATGCATAAAATGTCACCTACTCTTTATCTTAATTTGAGGCTGGGGGCGTAGTTTACTGTCTTGGAAAGTAGGTGTACCTTGTGTACGTATTGTGTTGGTTTTACGATGCTCGTAGGACGAGTAAGAACTAATAATGTAAGTTTGGCTAAACCTGAATGTAGCCAAACTTACATAAAAACTCATACACTCGGCAATGAGGATGATGTTGATGACTACTCAGACAGTGATGCAAAAATGAGCGACAAATGAAATGTTTGAAACTATCTTAACATAAATAACTCTTTCCAAGAGCCATAGATCGCACAATGAGTCAACGGAGGAAACTCGATACGAACGTGTAGAATTATAAACGCCATTGTATTGTAAAAAGTATTCGGCCACAGAATGCATAATATTATATTCTCTGAGTCATTAACATGTGCATTATCTTCGGTAAACCTTAGGGGCAAGGCGTCGCCTTGCCTACACTTGGCATAATATTTTGTTTTGCCTTGAAGCCGGGACATGGATTGCATGTATCCTTTGCGTTTATGTCTAAAACAGTCTCCCATCGATAGGCATTAAACATGCATGCTACATTTTTTAAACCAGTTCTATAACGACCAAAACCTGGTATTGACTAATTTTTTCTTAATTTTATCGTCATATTTTGTTTAAATGCTGTTGACTTTCGATCTTGTTTTATTTTATATGTTTTACGTAATTAATTGTTTCGTCACTCCAAATGTTGGATATTAGGTAAAAGTTGTAAAAGTATGTTCAGCAGTGGACTCAAACAGGCTGAAATGATGATGATGATGAGGTAAAAGTTTTATCATCCCTTTATAAAATTAGCTTTTTTTATTTATTTTGAATTACAAGTCATTCTTATCAGAAAGCTCACTGTTTGCATGCTCAAGTTGTGTTTGATATGAAATTAGATTGGAGTTTTGAACTTATTGTTTGACAGGTTTTTGAGATTGGCGATTTGGCTGTACTTGACTCTAATTTACACCGGAAGTACGGTGTAAATTAGAGTCAGTGATTTTTATAGGAAATACATTTTCTAAAAGAAGTACATTAAAAATTTGCATTACATTCGTGTTTGTTATGTTTGTTATGTGGAGTCTTATTAACTAATCCCTAAGACTGTTATTTGCAAATAAACTCTAGCTAAACGATATTGTCATGTGAGCTTAGCTGTGTGCACTATAGTCTGTGCAACAGTCACACTGCGTCAGATGAAGCTTTAATAGTCTCGGGACTGAAAGCAAAAACATCAGTT